TCATCTCAGACTCGGCTGCCTCGCAGATATTCCGACCTCACTGCACACAAGACGCGGGTCTTGTGGGAAAATTGATATTTTGATAATGACTTAGACATGACATTTCAAACAAAGTGTGAATAGAGTGTTAACTAAAGGATACATTGAGTTTGAATTTTTGTTCTTTCAGTTAATTTTCACACAGTGCAGAAAAGTACTGACATTTTTAATTACCAGAACCAGTGAGAAAACCTAATACACAACCTTGTACGGGTCAGAGGTGATGCAGAAAATTGAAAAGTAGAGAGAATATGCACACTGACGGAGAAAACTCTCACCATATGTTTATACAACCTTTTGAGCCTAAATGGTGTACACAAACCTGTCCTATCCCAGTGACTCAGAGCGGAAAGAACAAACAAGTTTTCTTTTAGTCAAACACAACCTGACCTCATGCGGAAACATAATCAGTGTGTTCCCACTGCTTTTGCACTCTGTCAACACGCAGATCTGCTGCTGCCTGCTGCGACTGTCGTGAATTTCAGCTGAGAGTGGAAGCAAATACTTTCTCACATTAGGTGAAATATTTTAACACTATAATTGAAATCTGATCCTTTTCTGAATATTTATTTCGGATGATGCTTGCAGGCACACAGTGAAGAAATGAACATGCTAATGTCTTCCTCTACCACAGCGAGTTTAGTTTGAATAACTTGAATTCATCAGACATTAGTCAAACTTTGACACTTTAGGACTGTTGCTCAGTTTGGGTAAAAACTGTCTGTGGGCATTAACTCCATGACAGTTTCAAGAACTGATTGTCTGTTTTAACATCGATGTGGAAGAATTTTGGCTCAATCCTCTTTACAGAGTTATTTTAATTCTCCCACACTGGAACATGTTCAAACATGAAAAGCTTGCGTACAATCATGAGATCTTTAACTAGGCCACTTACAAAACATGATATTGCTTTTGTTTATACAACCATTCAGAGGTGAACTTGCTAGAATGCTTTGGATCACTGTTCTGCAACATAACCCAACAAAACATCCAAATATCCAAAGCCATTCACATGATTTAAATGGAACTGAAAAACAAAACGTAATGATTTACTATTTAGCTTTAAAGTACTTGCAAACTACTATTGCCTGCATGGCTAAAAAATTTTACAGCATCAGAAAAAGAGAAAAAGGTCACGTCGAAGGTTTGGCTGTGTACAGACAAGCTCTGAGATCCTGTTATTCTGCTTAAAATACAAATACATTTTCTCATTAAAAATGTTCATTTATTCTAAATAGGAATTATGCACGCATCTATAAACATCTTGTGCCAAAGGGCATGTTCATCGTCATCTACTTTGGCAGCTTTCATTGCAAAGCTGAAGAAGAGGCAAAACACGGAGAAAGTTTGTTGATGGCTGAAGAACAAAGAGTTTAAAATTGTATTTTCCAGCATTAATCAAACATCCATTTGTAGTCGTGCTGTTTTCAAAGTCTTCCTTTTGCTTTTCTTATATGTAAACAGTCTAATCAACCATCTCTCATCTCTTTTCTTAGAGCTGGTGCTAAATTGAATGAAGCCAGAGAGATAAGAGCAGCAGGGATGTGATTGGGTTTTAGGATAAGAGCAGGTTTATTACTGACAACAGAACCGCTCCAATCTAGCAGCAATCTTTTTCTGTTTGTTTGATGTGTTGCGCCAGAAAACTCGGAAAATCTGTTGATGAAAGAAACTTCATGAATAACATGCACTGGCTCCAATGCAATTTATCACTCAATTACACAGACATGAACACAACCCTACTTACCTTTGCCCTTTAAACTTTCACTTTGTCAACCTGAAGAAGTCAATGTGTTTTATTTTTGTTTTTATGAACAAGTTTAACACAAAGTAATTTAGAAATTTAAAGTAAAACAGAACAGAACATTTCTCACCATCAAGAAAACCATTTGTATTCAATTCTCTTTACTCAAATACCACAACGTAAAACCAAGTGCATCCAACTGGCTTGAGAAGTCACTAAACTGGCAAACAGTTTACAGCGAATAGCAGCGAATAGCAAATGAACGCTCTCCATCTAATCTGAGTCAACTTGGTGGTGGGAGGCTGATGATTTGGGCTTATTTTGCAGTCAGTTTTGATTGACCAGAAACTTTTTTTGAGTTCCAAAAATATAATCTAGACAAAAGAAAGTTTGTGCAAACTGGGTCATCAGCAGGATCATGATCCAAAGCACAGCAGCAAATCGACAGCATGAAGTAATGACTCTGTCCTGTTTCTACGTCAGAGTGCATACATATAGATACATTTAGGTTTTTGACTGCATCATGAATAATTATGAAAAAGTTCAAGGAGTATTATTATAATTGTATTAGTGCTACATTTTTGTTTAATAAGTAATGAGTAAGGAAACTCTTCAGATTGAATAATGGCAGAACTTCAAAGGAAACAGATTATTTGTTTTGTATGTTGTGATATGGTGAAATTATTTACTTCTTTGTTTCCATGGCTGTAAAGAGGTCAGGCCAACCTTAACAACTGCAAATGATTAAAATCAAGTTTTGAGTGTTTGGGTTTTCTTTGCGGAAGATCAGCCGCCGCGCGCAGTTTGCGTCACAGCGGCGTTTATGCGGAAAACAGAACAAACAGCATCAATAGAAGCACAGACTGCTGAGAACTTCCATTTCCAGACAGCTCAACCATTTTGTGCGTGAAGCCCCGCACGTCTGACCCACTAACACAGATCTGCTCACCTGACGTCATAAGGGGGCGGAGGCTGCAGCTTGTCCTTCCTGATCTGCGCTTCCTGCCTCTTTTGCGCTCTTTTTTATTTTCGCCTTCTTTTATTTTTATCATTTGCTTTGTGGAACTTCACTTCACTTTTACTCTTTGTTTTATTTTTGTTATTGTAAAGATATAATGCGGCTGCTCTCCGAGTTACATTTTGCGCCGAGATTGTTTTCCGGAACTGATTTCTGTTGTTGACTGCTGGTTTGTTTTCTTCTGTGAATATGGATTGATTCAAAAACATCGTATAAATGCAACCGCCGTCCAACACACTGCCTGCTTCTCAAATCAAAGAGGTAAGACTGAGCAGCGAAATGACAGGAAGCCAAATGCTTTTGTTTGTAGCTGTGCAGGAAGCTGCAGCTGCTGCACTTTATTATTCTGCCAGAATAATAAAGCCTAAACCATTAAATCTGCAGATTTAAGCTCATTTTGTCACTAAATGTGGGTTTGAACGTCGCTGCATCGCTTCATGTCTGCATGCAGAGTCTGAAAATGGCGTTGTTTTTGAACAAAGTGAGCGCGCATCTGATTTCCTGCTGCACACTGGATGTTTTGAAGAGTTCACAATTTATGCATATTAATACACAATGATTCTTCCAAAGAGTCAACGCTCAGTTCTTACGTTTGAAAACTGCATTAAAATAAATGTTTAATGCAACATTTGCAGCTCCAATGTTGGAGCTGCAAATTACTGCAGCTCCAACATTGCATGCAGTAATTTGCTGAAGGCCAAAAATACATCAGTTCAATAAATAATCAGGTAAATCTTTATCATTTAAATAAAATCGGAAATTAGTCTAGTAAATAAATGCATCAGTCCCTAAAATTATTAAAGATTTTAATCGTTTATATGGACAACTAACATAACAAATTCATTTAATTAAACAAATATGAATGTTTCTTTTTCACAAAATGCAAAGCTCGACTATAATTTAATGCAGTAATTCACACACTTAAATATTTATTTAATAAATTGTCAATGTTTACATGAATACCAACACAATTTGAAAATGAATTTATTGCATTAATTACCATTTGCGATGCTTGTGTCAGGTGTGTGAGCGCTGGGTGCAGGCTGGCCTGTGCTGTGGAGGGGATGAAGGACCCGGTGGCTGCAGAGAGCCGCCGGCTGCTGGGCCTGCTGGAGGCTGCTCTGCTCAGAGAGGCTCGGCTGTGGAAGGTCCCGCTCTTCAAAAACGGATACATTCAGGTGAGCTATTAATTATTACGGATTTGGGAAAGATCCTGTTGTTTCTGGTTGAGACATGCACAGAACTGAATTTTAGTTCCAGTCTGTCAGGAAGGTCATCCTAAGGATGTTGGGGGCCTCAAGTAGAATGTGACTTGGGGCCCACGACCCGTTACGCCCATTGAAGACCAGCCATCGCTAGCAGTGTGTTGACACTGATTTAGTTCAGTCAGGAAGATGAATTTGTCAACAACCTCAGCTCAAACATTAGTGGATTAAAAATTTAACTGGTAGCAATAAATTACAACAATATCAAACTGACATTTTTTGTTGTACATGTACAGCATGGATTTACCTATTTTTAAGTTTAAAACAATCAAAAGTTTTAACAATATAATATTTAAATGAGCAAACGTGAAAGCCAGAGGTGGACAAGTACAATTTCTGAATAAATGATGAAATTATAAGTAAAAAAGTCAGCAAAGTCACTACTAATGTAAGAACTCATTGTTTTCTGTCTGTCTGCTTTTCAAGAGCATTCTCTCTACTTCTGCTATACTTTCAGTTTTTGTAGTTTTTTTCTTTTCACTGCATGTGAAAAAATGCATTGAATGTGGCCATTGTCATAGCGACCAATTTTCCCTTCTTGTCAGTTAATGATCAACACTTGTCCTTTCTTTACCTGGCAGGGTGCTGACATCTCCTTGTCTCAACACCAGCAAATGATCATTTGGATTGGAGAAATGAACCGGCTCTTTCAGTTCTGTCCAGAAACTTTTGCGCTGGGAGTGTGTGTCCTTAACCGCCTGCTGTCCACTGTCAAGGTAAATGGCTGCAGCCTTGACTGCGGGGACGCACATTTTGTTTTTGTCCAATTATTTTCACTTTTTGCAGCAACTACAGCCAGATGAACACTTTTCTTTTCCTCCAGGCTCAGAGAAAATATCTAAAATGCATCGCTTTCACCTCCCTGGTCCTGGCTGCCAAAATCAACGAGGAAGACGAGGTAACCTCTTTCATAGAAACACAGAAACGCGTCACACATTTTCAAAACAATATGTTTATTTGGCTTCTGTTGGTGTCTGTTTGCAACAGGTTATTGGTTCTGTTAAAGACCTGGTGGTGCGGAGTGGATGCAACTTTTCGACAGCGGAGATTCTTCGCATGGAGCGGATCATTCTGGACAAGCTGCACTGGGATCTGTACACGGCGACACCGGTCGACTTCATTCACATTGTGAGTTTACAGAACAGCAGATTAATTAACAGTTCATTTTTTCCCATTAGACTCAACATCTCTGTTACTTGTGGTCTAACAGTGAAACACAAGCAGTACAAAAAGCAGACATTGCAAACCATCATGCTTCAAGATTCTCTGATCCACATTTAAGGGTTGGTCCTAGGTTACATTGTGCATTTATTTAACTGGACTTCATGTGCCTGCGATTAGAATTACAAACTACATTACTAGTTCTGATTGATATGCAAACTTCAAGTGAGAAAATCTGATGGGAGATTGTTAGATTTCCCACCTTTTGATGAATTATAACTTCAAGTAAAAACGGGTTCTAATTGCGTCAGTCGCAAAAGCAAACATTTGTTGGTACAAAAAAACTAGCAAATCTGTTTTCTGAGACAATAACAGCTTCTTGCAGAAATAGTGTATTCTTTTAATACCAAATGGATGCAGCAAAACAATTTGTTCCAAATTTCAAGAGTGCATTTGCAAGCTACCAACAAAACATGCATGCTGTGCATTGGGCCAAGGCACTTCTGACTTTTCTGCAGCCATTTTGTGGAAACATAAAATCTGTCGCCACCAGATGGCAGGTTGGTCTGGGCTTTCATGTTGTCTGGGCTTTCAGACCTCAAGCAGCACAAACACTGCAGTTTACAACATAATGTGGTTTAACTGTGATAAACAGGTTTATTTTTTAGTCTACATCTTGGATCTGTACACCATCGTCTAAAAATTATTGTTCGAAGCAGAACTCACTGATTAAATTACCAACAGACAAACAGCCTGCTGCTGCATTCATAAGGCTTTTGAGGTTAAACAGAATTAAGCTGAAGATGGTTAACAGTGAGCACAACTTCTTAATTTGAGGTCAAGATAAAGGCAGCCTTGCAAAAGTCTCCTTATTACTTGAACTTGATATAGTTTTTCTGGATTTCATGTATTGATCAACAGAATCAATAACTAATAAAAATTTGAGAAGTACATTTGACACCTATATTCTCAAACACATCATTTACATGCAAACCACTATCTAACCCTGAACACCAGTCTCAACATACTGTCTAACTGTGAAACATAGAGGTGGCAGCATCATGCTGAGTGTGGGCTGTTTTTATTCTTCAGTGGAGGCAGAGAAACTGAAACTGAGAGAAGTCAAATACAAGCCAATTCTAGAAGAAAAGCAGCTGCAGGCTTCAACAGACCTGAAACTGAATAAAACCTGAACTACAGCCAGTCCAGCACTAAATCTAATTGATCATTTGTATTTAGATTTCACATTGAAAGTAGTCGTTTCCTCACAAGCAGTCACAAAGAATCTCGATATCATACGTTGACGTTCAAGGGATATGAATTCTTCTGCAAGGCACCTTACATCACCCAGAATGCAACAGCTTAGAGCCCATTGCTGAATGTGTTATGAATACAGGCCAGTTTGTAATATTCATCCCACTGTGCTACAATGAGACGACTCCTTTTGATAAAAACCTTGATTACCATCTTCTGCAAAATCAACCTTTCAGTCAAATATCATCCCCAGTTAGTTTCATTCTCCTTCTCCAACAGGGGAAACCTACATTCCTTCAACACTAGCTTTGGATTTGTCTGCAAACACTTAATACATATTTTTCCATAAAGCCACAAATCGTAAAACTTGTCATCGAGACGCGGATTCATCTCCCAAACTCCAAACCCCCTCTGGTACATTTTCAGGATCTGAATTTGAGTTATTGTGGGTAATACAAAATCCAGGACTTCTAAAATAAAGAGCCATAATATAACAAAACTATAATAAAATAAAGATTTTTCTTTCTCTTTTACTTTAAATAAATATATTTTAAATCATTTTTACTTTAAATATTTCACATCAATACTGTAAACATCTGCCCTGAAGAAATTACTTTGCATTCCATTTTTAAATACTGAATAGTTATTTTCTGTTATCTACAAAACAGCGATTTGTCACAGACTCTCCACCATGACACGTTGATAGGGATAAACTTACAGAGATTCACAGATTAAAGTTGATGTGCATCTAAACAAAATAAAAGTCCCGTTCAGCTGGATGGTGGCGAAGAACAGCCATCCTTTAAAGCCAAGTCTATCGAAAATGTTTATATTTAATCAGAAAAATGGAGGATTTTCAGATAGTTTTAGTTCAATTTCATTTCATTTGGCACAACGATACTGAATTTACCTCCCAGTGCAATTCCACTTTCCTTTAAAAACATGGCTTATTTCTGCTAGAGACAAACTAAAGCACAACATGAATGTATTAATGAAGGAAAGACGGGATGAGATAACAAAAGCTCCTCTCTTGTAAACCAAATGAGTTCTAAATCCTTTTGCTTGAAAGAGATGTTACCCAAGCTGTGACTCACTGAGCAAATGGAGATTTTTTTTTTTTAACATTGATCCAACAAGGTTAGGTTTTATACTGTCTGCACACAATCGCGAACACAGAGAAGCACTGCACAGACAACACAAAACAAACAGGACGGCCATGAGACAGAATGGGAGATTTCTAAAGGGGCGAGGTGAACAGTTTCTGGACTGAACCTCTACAAACAATTTGGGAGGACTACAAAATCCCCAACTGTAAACTGACAGGAGATTTAAGTTTAGGCTGACTGGATCAAAGGGTTTTTATAGCAATAAACATAATGAGATGGCAAAAGAAGGACTGAAAATGACATAATGCTAACATTTTGGCCTTGTTTCTCCTCATTGCTCCCAGTTCCATGCCCTACTCGTCTCCGGCCATCCCCACCTGGCTCCGTCCTTTCGTCTCGGTTCCAGCATGGACCCCGGGGTGATTGCCGGTGCAATCCCTGTGAAGCCCGGGCATCAGAAGACGCCCCCCTCAGGCTTCCAGGCGGCGTTGTGGACCAGGCAGGTGCAGCACTGTATGGCCTGCCACCAGCTCTGGCAGTTCAAGGGCTCCACGCTGGCCTTGGCCATCATCACTTTGGAGCTGGAGGCGCTCACTCCAGACTGGTTCTCTGTCTTCACCGACCTACTGAAAAAAGCGCAGGTAAGAGAGCAGTTCAGGCCCACTGGAGATTAAGCTACGGTGTAAATCGTTGCCACTGTCAGGAATGTGTTTAAATATTGAGCTGAGTTTCAGAAAAACTTGATTAAATTATTAAAAAATTAATAGTGCAAAATCTAATTTTATTTAAATTTGTAGGAAATTAAATTTTTGAGACACTTTAGCTTTATTTTTTATTGTAGTGAAGGCAATAGAGTGCCCTCTATTTAACTGAATGACAATTGTCTTTGCATTGAAAAGTCCCACTGCAGAAGATTTGGGAAGATTTAGCCAAGTTGCTATTTTCTTGCTTGATTTTTAAAGATGAACATATATTTGACATGTTCACCTGTCTTTCCCATTTTAAAGGAAGAATAATAGAACTTGGCATCATTTACGTCATACGTACTGTGTGACTCGGTAGAAAATTCAATGTAGTTGTTTTGTTTGCATCATAATAAAATCTAAAGGCTGGATTTTTCTAAAACATTTTTTGTAAAATTATGCTATTAGAATAAAAAGCATTTTTGCACGTCAGTGAAATTAGTTTTCAATGCACTGCAAGTGTTGAGAAGTTGCGTTTTTAATGTCGAGCCAGTTAGACAGTCTCATGTCAGTGGATGCTAAAACTGGTCACATAAAAAGACATGGTCCAAAATGCCAAATGTCCCAGAGTGCAGGAATCCCAGGTAATGAAAGGAAAAGAAAGACTCTGTTTATCGCAGTGTTTAACAGAACTATTGTCAAATAATGTGAAGGTCTGCTGCTTATCTCTTGTAAGGAGGCACAATTTGGTTCATCCAGATGGAAGAAATGTTCTATCCTGTTTAAAGAAAAAGAAAACAAAATGAAATATTTGGTTAAAACAGCCTCCTCTGCAGCTCCAGCCTCTATAATTAACCCAGAAAAACAATAGTTAAGTTTATTTAAATGGGGGTGTAGAAGCCTAGTATTTTAATTCTTTGAGGCCAATTAAATGATTGAAAAATAAAAACCCACGCTGCTTTAGAGCCATCATTCACCAGGTGTGTTGCTCCTCCCAGGTTGACAGTGCCGAGTTCATCCACTGCAAAGAGATTGTAGACGAGTTTCTGCACAGCCTGGAGTTCTCCCTGCCCGCCAACGCTGTGTACATCCTGGACGGCTCCCAGATCCAGGAGAAGCAGCAGCAGGTCTGGAGCCCCTCGCAGCGACACATGGCGGCCAGAAGAGGGCGTGGTACCAGTGAGCAAGGGGATTTGGATGACTACTATGACGGTTTCAGGCGTTTGTATAATGAGGAGAGCGACAGAGAGGAAATGTTTGAATTTGAGCAGAAAGGTGCGTCTCCCTGCCCGCCGCTGCACCCTGCTGGCAACTAGCAGGACGTCAATCACAATCCAGCTTTTAACGAGCTTCATGATTCCAGAGTTACTGATTTACAAGATTTAGTTTTAGATCCTCTTCTTCTTTTGTCTTCAGCCACATTCAATGTGGATTTGGGTACCAGCTCACTCTTATTTTGCTGTGAGATCAGGGGAACTGAGGAGAATTTAATAAGCTTAACTGTAAAGAAACACATTTGTTTCTCTGCAAAGGCGTTTGTTTTAGCCAAACTGTATCAATTTGTTAGATGCAAGAAGTTTAATTTTCAGTTTTGTCTTAATCCTGGTTTAGGTTTTAATGTGAGGCATCTTGGTGCTCAGGTTTCTCTCCAGAGCCACAAAGCACTTTAAGATAAAGTTAAACTTTTTGCAAATATATTTTTTCAGCCTTAGTTTTTTTTATGTGTATATATAAAACTTAACATGTTTTATTTACCTTATTTACAAACACAACCTTTTACACATATAAGCTTTACTTTGTTTTACTAAATTATGCAATTTTTTTTAGCATTTTATGCTGCAACATGTATTTTCTTCATGCAATTGTAATTACATATCAAATATGAGCACCTTTTGGGAGATTAGTTCAACACTAGACTGACTAAAGGTGATTAATCTTTTGGTATTTTGTTTTCAGTATTTTGTAAGTGCATTCAGTGTGAGAGCACAAGTAATGCGAGACTGAAGTTTGGGATCAAGGTGACATGTTTTGATTTAATCAGACGGATTAGCCAGTGCCATGAGCTTTACTTTATCAAAGTATGATTAAAAATGCAGCCATTTGAGCAACATTTTCTGTTGTTTCTGAATGCACATTGTATCTCCACTGCCAAAGCTCTGAAGCTCAGACACTGAATACTCACAGCAATAATGTCTGCAATGTGAACTAATTCCTGTTTTTTAAACTTTAACAATGTTTCATATTTTCATTTGAGTGCTAAGGCAGCTATATTATACGTTTTGTTTTTTTTGTTTTTTAACACAAATAAACTACAGCTTTAAAAAATTGGAAGGGTCAAATGTTTGCTTTGTTAATCTCAAAGACTGGAAGTGGGTTGAATGAAGTACTGATTTGTTTTTAACCACCACCCCCTGACTCAGTTATATCATACAATAAAATCCAAGAAGTTATGATTCTGTTTAGAATAAGAAATTTTTAAAAAACTGTCCTTTACAGTGTATTCAGAAAGCTCAAAAAGTATAACATCTTTTCTTAAGGTATTTTATCAAGTTAATTGCGATCTGAATTATGGAATCGAGCGTGGATGTGGCTTCACCTGGGATTAACTTTCCATTTCGTAGCGAACAATGAAACGTGTCACGGCAGCAGAAAGCAGCAGCTGCTGTACAACGTCAGTGATTTTCACTCAGCTTTGTTAGCACAGTATCCTGGAGCTTTAAAGGACACGACGAAGAGCTGCAAACATATTGTGCTGCTGGAAGAGATCCAGTCAGCCCTGCAGGTAGTGCACAGAATAATAATAGATTTGGCAAGGGATTGGCATAAACAGAGAATCTGTATTACTGTAGTGCGTCTTTCTCAGTCGGGTTTAAAGAATTATTGAAGTACTCCAGGTGGAGACACAGAACGGATCAGATATCTCAAAGAGTTTCTGAAACTGAAAAAGATCTTCGCACAAAATCAAACACTTAAAAATTGGTTTCACAGAGCATGCTGATAAAAAGGAATAGCAAGGCACATTTTTATTCCTAATGTAAGGATCTTGAACCTGCAGAATAGTTTTGCAGTCAATGAGACAAATGGTGGTGGAAGCACCATGTCAAAAAGCAGAAGGAAACAGCAGGGTTTATGGGAACACAGAAAATGTCTGAAGGAAAAACCTTCTAGTCTTAAAACGGGGTAAAGGTTCACCATTTATCGGGTTTTTAAATATACCACAAGAGCAAAGGATACGTTTATTCAAAGCACATTCATGTGCTGAAAGGGTCCAGTTAAAGTCCAAACTAAAATGCAATAGAGAATCTGAAGCAAGATCTTAAAATTAAAGTTCACAGAATGAGCTAGAGCTACTTTGCAAAGAAAAGTGTCATTCTTTAGATGTGCAACACTGATGGAAACTGACAGATGGTTTTACAAATTATTGACTGAATATAAATGCATGCCATGTATATTAGACTTACCTGAAAAAACGGTTAGAAATATAGAACATACAGTGAAATAAGTGACAAAATGCTTCGGTTTTTCAAGGAGCTGTACTTCTCCTTTTCACTACTGCACTCCATCTTTAGCAAACAGAGAAACCACACAGGGTAATAACGCAGTGTTGAGTTAGAAAAGCAACACGCTGAGCAAACATTGTGCAGCTGCTTCAGTTCCAAATCGCCTCCATCTGACAGCTGTTTTGGTTACAGACACAATGAATGCATCTTTACCTGCCCGTGTTTCACCACCATCTTCATCTCCCAGGAGTAAACGCAGACAAACAAATCAGAGCACAGAGAGGCTTCACATTTCAGAGGGAGGGTTTGCATTTATTTGCACCGACAGACAGTAACTACAGCTGCTCTCTTCTCCATGTCTGAACGTAAACTCTCCTACAGCGAGTTGAGGCTTAAATGTTTACTGGCTTCATAGTCGTGATTCCACTGGCGTAACAAAACGATCACGCAGGGTTTACAATATAGATAAGTCACTCACAAATAATGTACACCCTCTTATGGGCTTCTTGCATCATATTCATTAATCATTTTAAAAACTAGTACATATTTGCATATTACTGGAAGCTTGGTAAGCTCGAGAAAATATTCACATACATTTACTGACTTACAGCACTAGCATATTGCATAGGTTTTAAGACATAGGACTACATGTTGTCAGTACCTCTAAAAGCAGGTACTCAGTTATTGCTTGACACGCTAAGATTTTAATGTATTATTCACTAACGAGGGACTGATTATACTAAACTAATTCCTCAGGGTTACAAAAAGACAAATTACCTCTGAATATTTTAAATGGGTCATACATTTCTTAAAAAGTTGAGGACCTTTTAATCTTCGCTTTGAACGTCAGGGCTATAAAAACTGGGTACCCCTTATATTTTATATTTTCTTTAAATACATATTTTGCCCATATTTCCAAAATTGTAGTACCACAAAATGACAATGCTTGACAAGATTTAATCAGTTTGGATGGCTAATGAGGAAAGAAAAGATACAGAAATATTAAAAACAACAAAGAAATTAAAATAAACAGATATATTTATTTTAAAAAATGTCCAAAAATCACATAGAAAGATCCTGAATCAATGAGATGGCCACTGATGGACGTGAATATTTCTCTCTCTCACCATCTTTCACTCTTTTTCTCTCCTGTGGCTTCACCATCATCATCATCCTCAGTGTCTTTGGTCCATGTGCACAATGTCAAGATGGAATGTCAAAAGACAAAAAAACAAAAACAAAACAAACAAACAAACAAAAAAAGAAAACACAGATGTGGTCGTTGCTATGGTGATGGAGGACAAATCCGTGGTCGTGTGTGGATGGGTTTTTGCTGCGCCTCAAAAATTAACTGAAAAACAATGAAACAATAAAGAAAATAAAGTGAATCAATGGCTGGCTGGGTTTTTGACATTTTAAATAAAAACTGTGAAATACAGAAGTTGGAGCAAAATTAAAAAAATTACATTTAAAAAAAAAAAAAATCAAAAAATTACATTTAAAAAAAAAAAACAAATCAAGCGTTATTGATGGGGGTAAAGTAAATAAAGCTTGCCTGTTCAATCACCTGTTTTAGAAAATTACACATTTAATTTGAGGAATTTAATTTGAGAAGTTCAGGAAGAACTTCAACATATCCACAAAATGGAAGATCACACAGCCACCGACAGTGTGCATGAGCAGCCACAAGAGGGAGCCACTTGTCTGCTTTTAAACTTTCATAATTCAAACCACACAGAAATGAATAACCAGCTGAAGAAAAGGTAGAGCAAATGAGCTCTACCTTGGAGTGCAAATAAGCAAAACTATCAAATTTCAAACTTGAGCTACAATGATCCAGGTTTAATTGCAAGACAAACTTACAACTTTCTGAAAATGAAGATATTCACTAAAATATGCAAAACGGTGAGAAGTCGACAAAAATAAAAAAATCCCACTGATTTTATGTGTTTTTATACACTTTGTTATGAATTCAGTTTGTGCATGGATACTTTCAAATGAACACTTATGAGCATGGTTATTTTAAAACTTTGGATTGTTTTTTACGTGATGAACTTTAACATTAAACAGGAAGTGGAAGAAAGATGATGTTTGTGGGCACACACTCAATTTAAGCTGTAAAGTACAAATGTTATTTTTTCTGCAGCAACCTGTAACTGATAACTGGGCTCCTCTCCCTTTAAACGTAATCTGAACCAAAGACTTATACCCCAGCAAACAAAAATGATACATTTTTTATCGACATCCAGGTCGAGGCTTTAAAACCCAAAACTTAAAATTGTAGTGCAAATAGGCAAAACTATCAAATTTCAAACTTATGTTTCTTTCTCAATTAAAGCATACAACTATGAAAATGAAAACAGCTTTGCGGAATATTCTGCAAATTAAACTGCAGTTAATTTGATTAAAAAGGTTTTAACAGGGTGCAAATGCTATGCAGTGACAATCAGCATAATTGATGCTTCCCATTAATTAACATGAACTACTGTGAGCTCATTAATTTAATTTAGTGAAAATATTTCACTGGATCTATAAACATGAAGCTATAATTGGTCCTTCATTTGGGTAAAAATAGATGCCTTTTTCTGAAAGCAGGCACTTTTAAGAAGCAAATTTTGAGCGAATAGAACAGGAAAGGCCTGGATTAAATTTAAACATACGTGTTTAAATTTTCAAGATTCCTTGATTATGATTATGGAGAAAGATGAGTAATACAAAACTCAATAATGGAGCTTCTTCACAGCTCATTGCTGATGTATGACATCTCGCAATTTATTTCTAATTACTACATTTTAAATATTTTTTTAGTGAGTTGTATGCAGCTCTAAAAAAAATCACTTTTTATATTTAGAGAAGTTATGAGACTGATTGATTTATGTTTACTAGTATAACATAATGTTACTTTAAATCCATTTTACAACAGTTATTATTGTGAAAATGAACTTAAAGTACCGTAGTTTGAAATGAAAATGTGTGGCACTTGAACTGCACATCTGTAATTTGAACAAGTGTAGCTGTTTCTTGGCTAAATGCTACATCAGTTTTCAGAGCTTTTTGCTGCCTGAGAGCGCGCAGACTGCAACCGACCCCGAGTATCCAGAATAATTAGAGCGAAACGAAAGGAAAGAGTGAAAGCACAGGAAATGTTCAACTTGGCCAGAACAAAAAGGGAAGACGTTTCCTTCACACTTGCCAGGTCCTTAAAAACGCTGAAGTGCTTTATGTTTTGGAGATGATTCCACAACAGCAGACCACACTCCATCACAAAGTCATTAATGAAAGGGTTTGCCGCTGGACATGGCAGAATGTGCACTTCCTGATTCTAAGTAAATGAGTTAAACAGCAAAATAAGAAAGAAAAACTGCAGCACATCTAGCAGTAGACAGCATCTCAACTCTAAGGCACACAATGGAAGGAAGGAGAGTTGCTGAAAGAAATTAGGAGGCTTGGAAAACGAAGCTCCTGTTATTAGAGGAAGAATTCAGGAAATGGGTGATTAAGAGGAAGGACTGCCTTACTTTTTCTTGTCTTTGTCTTTCTTGAGGGGTTGAGATGAGAGCGTCTCACATGCCACCTTCTTCCTGTTGAAGGCGTTCATCTCGTCCTCCAGCTCCCTTCGCTTCTCCTCAACCTTCCTCTTCTCATCCTGGTGCATCCGCTTCAGCTGCTCAAACTTTTCATGCAGCTGAGCCCAAACAAAAACAAAAGCTCAGATTTTTATGTGTCCTTTAATATTCAAAAGTGGATCACAAGTTTATGTGAAATAAAAAACTTTTAAGTTAAAGCTGAAAGATTGAAACCAAATATTTTGTGTCTCTTTAAAAAAGTTTGTTTCCGATTTCTGTTCTTATTTTCTTATTATACATTCAGCAACTGCTGAATGTATTTCTCACTGTTGTGGAGGAAGTTAAGGTGCTAAAAATATTAAAACTAAACTAGACAAGGTTTTACTCCACACAGGTAACTGTTCTGCATTAAACTACAGTTCTGTATTTATCTGATCGACTCTACCTTGGTTCATTGTTCTCCAGCTTTGTATCAAATGTTCTGACTTTCCCAGACTCGGTTCTCTTGTATCCAATTTTATTATTAACAAAAGTGATGAAGCACTGTGAATATATGCTAAATATTTATACAGTAGTCAGGCCTTAAAATGGATGCTACTATAGCCAGAAAATGACAGGAAGGAATCACCAAATGCATTAAAATAAAAAAAACAGATGAATTAACAACTAGACCAGCATATTGAGCGACCAAAGGATGGATGGACATCTTCAAAAAATAAATAATAAAATTGGAGCTACTATCCACAAACTAAATGCTTTAAATTCATGTCTTCTTTTAGTAATTGACAACCCCCTCACTGTGGTGTGCTAATTATCCCACAAGCATCTGATGAGTTGGGCTCCTCCAAAATAAAATCCAGTCCACCAAACCTGACCAATAGCTGTGTGCACACTTTCCTGTTTTTCAGGACACAATATTCACTCTTTTCACTCACACATCACACCAAAACTTTAAGAAACAAATACGACATAACCTTGAAAACTCTGCAAGTTTCTAAATAAAACACTCTGCCAAAAGTGATGCTATTTATACAGAAGTGCAACATAATTTTACAATTATTAAGCCATCGCACAAGTAAAATTGCAAACATTAGCAATAAGTAAAGGAATTTAGATTTGGAGATGTTTATCCCAACTCCAAAAAACAGCATCTATGGCACCTGTAAGTAGATTTAAATTCACATCAGAAATTAATGGAATGATCTGATCCTAAAAATGTCAACACAGCACTTGGTATAAATATTCCCTCGTCTTTTCAACTTTTATTCTAATTCAGCCAGCAGTGTTGAACATCCTGGGAAATTGATGTGTTACTATTAAACTCTGAAACGTCACTAGAGAGGACAACCAGCAAAGAACCACGGATGATTCTATCAAAAGAAAACCAGAGAAGAGGTGGAGCGTGGAAAAAGGAAAAACTCATTACCGTTTGTTTCAGATCATTATCTCTAGTTTAAAACAGTAATGCTGCCTTGGAAGAGACTGAAGATGTCTCAGTTCAAACCTCCTGATGGCAAATGATCACAAAACCTAAAACCCAATCCCAACTTCAAAATCTAAAGAATATTTTTATTTCTTAATTGTTAAGAAATTTGAGCTGAGCTATGTCTTAACTAAAATTTGCGATCATAATCTACATCATGTGATATATCTTTGCTGCTGGTTTGTGGTAAAAATGGTTAAAACTGGAAGTGTTAGATGAACCCGAGCAAAACTGGAGGCCCAGAACATAGATATGTATTATCAAGGAGTGAAACATCAACTTATTTCTCACTTACCTCTCGTTCTTTTTCTTTGAGTTCTGCTTCGGTTTCTTTTACTTTGTTTACAAACATTTGCCTCATTTCTTCTTCTTTACGTTGCAGGTCCCCTAAGAACTCTTTCCTCTTGGCTTCGTATGTTTCTTGAAGACTGCATGAATGAAACGAGACGGCAAAGAGTTAAAAATTTGTTATTGTTGCTAAACAATAGAGCTTGCTTTCTGACATTAACATTTGAGCAGTTCTGTGGTTTTGCACCCTGTCCATCCCGGTGGACTCTGAGTGAGGTTCTCTCGGTCTACCTGAAGGGCTGGCTGTCTGGGTCTGTGTCTTTAAAGCCCATCTCCTCCAGTTTGCAGCGCCGGTACAGCTCGTAGTGGCGGGCGTGCGTCTGCTCCCTCAGATCCTCCATGTTGACCCGGATCAGCATCTCTCGGAGTTTTACAAAGTCACAGTGGCTCTCATTCTCAACTAAAAGAGAAAACAAGAACACACAACAATTAGATGTGAAATATGCAGCGTTGTTCACTTTTCAAATCAAATTTCTTAACATTCAGACCGAAATCCTCTGAGATTTCTTTTAGCTCATTTTATACCATCAATACTATACTATAATATTTATACTCATTGAATTTGTTCAAACTTTGTTGTGAGAACAATGAACTTTATTATGCATTTGTCAGCTAATAGGCGACAGTTGTAATCACCGGAGGGAAGAGGAGAAATGGTTTTCAAACGTTTTGTCAAATAAAAATCTAGAAACTATAAAACAACTGCATTTATAGTTGCAGGCTGCTGTATGTCGCCAACAGCTTTGTGCATATAGATACTGAAATTCATGTTTATTCTTCTTTCAAAAAATAACAAAAAGCTCAAGCTCAACTGGCATTTTACAGATTTTCTTCCAAGACATCCTTTTGTTTAACTCCAAACAAATTCCCAACAACTCTGACCAGATTCCCCTCCATTGAGAGGAAAAACATCCCCACAGCATGATGCTGCCACCACCAGGTCTCAAAGTGGAGATGGTGTAATAATGTTCTGTATCAATTCTTGGAAGCCTTCACAAAAAACTGTCAAAGGAGACAAAAAACAATGTGAAATGAAATAGATTGAATCTACTCATTATTTATTAGACTTTTGAAGGCAACAGGCTAATATTTATTTATAAAACATCTTTTCTGTTGGGCAATCCCCCCAACATCTCAGAATGTATTAATGTTTGTAGTTTTACAAAATAGAATGGAAAATTTCAGGGAACATGAAATGTTTTATAAAACACTAAGTTTTGATTTCAAGCCAGATCTAACCATTAATAACCGTTTAATTTTTATGTCTTGAATTTTTTGAATTGAAATCAAAGTGCAATCCCATCGTTACCCCAGGGCATGTGTAAACTGAAAGTACATGGACTACAAGGGTCATGACCCCACACATGGCAGCGAGGGGCTGGGGGAAGGCGAGTGTTTAATGCCACAACAGGCTGCAAGACTTTAAAACATAAAATCCACCATGTGGCTTTCAAAGCTGCCTGACTGGTGAAAAATGACAAACATGTCAGTTAAGCAGAATAAAATGTTCATATTAGTCAAGGCAAAAGAGAGAAACTAAACAGCCACCAGCACATTCCTGTTGCTGTGAAAACTACAAAAACTCTACATTTATTTTTAGAACATCTTTAAGAACGAGTGTACAAAATTTGCTGGCTAACAACCCATCAGTGGTAGGAAAAGCCCAGTAAAAAAGAAAACCACTCCGTTCAGTTCAGCCTGCTCTTTGGGTTCCTAATCACCTCCCTGTTCTGGCCTCCTGCTGAGAGAAACCCCAATCCTGTGACTGATGGCAGAGCTCAGCCCTCAGGGAGAAGAAACGAGGAAATCTGCTGACATTGGAGAGGTTGAATCCTGGTGCCAACAGGCATCCTGAGGAGAGGTCGGGCTACGATTCGACATCAGTCGACATGTCTGTCATGTCGACTGATGGGGGGGGGAAATATCCTGTCCTCTTCTATTTTTAGCCAATATTTTTTAAAATGCAAATAATAATATATTTGATTAAGTTTTGTCTTCATTTCGTCTAATTAATAGTCAATCTGAAAAAGCTGAACTGTGAATCCACACTGAGCAGTCACAAAAACCACTGCGAGTCACCCCAGTAACTCCATAGAAACAATAAAATGAAACGACTGCTCTTAATTTATGAACGATTCGACTGCTGTGAATCTCAGATTCTGGAGCTACAAATACCATTTAGGCCAAAAATCTTGGCTTACGGAACATTTCAATAATTCAAGTAATCAGAAGTTGGGAAAACTCTTAACTGAGGTGTGTCCTGGTCCCACAAGCCCCCAGAAACTACCAAATACAGGAAATAATCTAATTCTGGCCCTTTAATGACTTTAACGCTCATATAAACTGGTTGGTTTCCTGGCACAGACTGATTTTAAACAGCGCTGAGGTTGCAGCGTTACTAAAGCTTTATGTTTTCCTGCTTTATCCTTTGTTTAAAAAAAAACTAAATATCTAAGTATTCATAATGTTCATGTCATTGAATGCATTTTAAATGTCTATCACCTAAATATCAACTATCTGACATTCCTAACCTGACAGCATTGCAACATGATGACTGAGAATGAAATGCATTCTTTGCATGCATGCGTTGCTTCCACACGTTCATTTTCACACAAAGCACTTGAAAATGTTTTTGCAGCATAACAAACACTCGACCATGATGCTTCAGAGCAGAAATACCAGAGCTCTGCCCTATGTCACACAAGTCAGGAAGAGCACAGAGATAACAGAGCCATGAGATCCCGAGGGAAGACAAGCACACATTCACTGAGATCCCTACAATTACTCTGTTTTTGTCACAGCACAGTCCTTCCTCTGTCTCTCTTCCAAGGAGATGGAAATTTCTCATGGCTCTTTTCAAGAGGCTACATAACCAATCTATATGACATCTGGCATGAACTAACGGTTTTCTCTGATGGAGCTCCTCATTTCAGCCACCAGAGAGAAAACAGAGAGCTGCTGTCCTGCACCTCCTGGCTTTACATTCACCTAAAAATGTGTTGAAAGAAAAATAATTCAATAAATGTGATACATTTTTCAGAAAAAGTGAAGCTTATATCACTTTGAATTCAGCTGGTTCATGCTGGGCAGAAATGGAGGGATAGTGGCAGAAAAAACAAAAAACAAAGCTAATCTAATTGCTTTCTACGAAGTGTCATTAGCTTGTAAGCTAAACAACTGCTAAAGGCCAAATTAAGGGTAAATAAAGGTTTATTAGCCACCTTTTAACAGAGATTCATAATTTACAAAATAGTAAATGTAGAAAATGTCCAGTTTAATAGTTAAAGAAGGCTGTTTTCAACTGCTGTTAATCTGTTACTGAGCTGTTGCTTTGTTGCGACTCCAGAAAAGAAAAAAAAACTGTCCCCCAGGAAACACACAAAAAGCTTCATAAATAACCAGCGAGCATCCTCTGAGGGTTGGAGAATGAGAATGGTCAGAGCATAAAGGGAAGAGCGCAGTAAACCGAGGAGAAGAGAGCCGGTTCCTGAGAGGAGCTCCCACATGAGCAGTAACATTCTCACTGTGCATCTCTGTCACGTTATTAAATTAAACTGTTTACCAGCACTGACAAACACCGAGGAATGAGGAGCGGGAAAAGAAAACTCCTAAGAAGCAGGCACGAGAGGTGACATCTCTATAAAAACATGTTCCATATAAAAAGCCACAGACACACAGAAAGCAATACAGATCGAAAACTAACACCAGCAACTATTAGCAACTTTATAAAGGAAGCCATTTACCCTTCTACCTTTTTACTATGTTTTCCTTCACAGGAAATCACACTTGGAACATTAGCAGAGTGAGAAGAAATAAACTGGCCAACAAAGTTGCAGTTCACACTTTGCCACAGGCAGTTTATCTCCATTGACACGGATATTTGCTAAACTGCAGAGTTAAACACTTAAAAAAACTGCTAAAGCAGTTCTCAATGTTAAAGTTAATTTGTCTTTAAACAAAGATAAAGATAATTTGAAAAATAGACAAATAAACAAGGGATAAAAAAGGAAAATGCTCAGAATCTTGAAGTTCCAGTAAGAAGCTAGTGCTTTCACCTTGGCCAATATATAAAAAACAGTTCAAGAAAAAAAAGTCTTGCAAAACCAAAAAAAGACTTAAAACAAGAACAGTTTTTTAGTTTAACTAAGTGTAAACTCAAAAACTGTTACTGTACTTAGTAAATCTTAAACTTTGGTTCTACATTTACCTTGAAAAGACAATAATCCCACAGCAATATGCCACAAGGGCAAATTAACATTTCACAAACATAAATCAAGTAAATGGTGACACTGAGTCTACATATTTTTATAAAACTGTTGCAAAATGTCTGAACTTATTTATTGTCACGACACACAAGTCACTGCTGTCCTAATATTTTACATTCACAATATTTACAAGTAGCTGCAGAATTCCTGATCCGTCTATTCAATAATCATATTCTTATTACAGAATTTAAAAAAAAATTCAAACAGAAAAACATTTAGTGTGACTAATTTTCCCAGCAAAGAAAATAAGAACTGGTTAATTGTAAGCCTAGAAATTCCTATAAATTGCACATAATGTGATTCATATCTACTTTGATCAGAATGTTAAACAACTTATGAAATATTTTTGAATGTAACAGTTTGACCTAGGACTAATCTTTGTAATGGAAAAGACAAAACAAAATTCCTTTCAAGTACTACGTAGTTCACAACTTCATGACTGGAAAAAACAGCAGGAAAAATCTACCAAATCTGACCAGACCTGAAATGCACAACCCAAAACTGGACTATTGAAATGTTATAAATGTGGTTTAATTAAAATTTTTGTTTCATTGTTTTGGGTGTTTGTCAACATTTGCCTTATGAAACTCTGAATGAAATGTTAATTAAACTCATCGGTATTTAGACCAACCCTAGTTGGTGCTTCATCTGTGTGATCTCTAACACGACTAACATTCAACATTCAGCACACGGTCTTGTTTGCTTGAGTGAAACAAACACACCCTTCTTGTGACAGAGTCTTTGTGAGCAGCTCTTACCTTGCACCACTCCCCAGGGATACTGTCTGGCCCTCACTGTTTTGTTCCCCACTTTGACTTCTTCCACGCTTCCGACCACAGCGAACGGCAGGTGAGCCTGCACAGGCAGAAAGGCCCATAAATGTTAGAAAGATCAAAAGATCCAGCTGTAAATAGAGACATGAACCGGGGGTTCCAACTTGGCCTACATTTTCCATGTTACAATTTTATGCTCCTTGCTTTTCCTCATTTACAGCCCAGAAATGGTTTTCTGAATGCAATATCTTTAGCATCAGTTTTACTGGAGGTGATAATTCAAACACAAGCCTCTGTATTTTAATTGTTCCTTTAGACACGGCGTCTCTGTGGGACTGACAGCGGGGGGCAGTGTGGAAACAGACCCAACATGCTTCCTCAACAGTTCGATGGCGAGCTGAAACCAGCTGGGATGAAGCTGAAGGGGACAAGATGGTGGGCGTGGGCACTGATGCAACAGACTATAAATAGATCAGGAGAGTGCACAAGGATAAAACCGCAGAATTAAATGCACTCTCATTTGTGCATCTGAACATAAGTGGGTGTGTGTAGGTCAACTGAAAACAACTCATTATATAGAAACAAAAGTAAAAAAGGAAATTTTCCCAGGAAAATAGTCCCACTACAGTTTCATTTCAACACTTTTGCAGTATTTCTTTAAATTATTATTGAATTTTTGGAATATAGTCATGAAATTATGTTTTTTGAAGTAAAATGATAAGTTTTACTTGCACTAAAACAAAATAGCAGAAATTGTAGTTACCTTTAAAAGATGATACAAAATGTAAGACTCGCGTATCTGTTGACTGACATTTGCAGCTAAATGTGGAAACTGGTGCTCCAGTGTGCATTGCAGCAGCAATATTCAACACGAGCCTCAAAGTTACAAAAATTTCACTTCCAAAAATGTCATCATGGATTTAAGGCGGACATGGCAACTTGAAAAACAGGCAAATAAATAAATGAAGGAAGGAACATAGGAAAAGTATTTTTATACAATCCGTTTCCTTTTTCTGTATTTATTCTACTACAAATACACCTACTACCTTTGTGGAAAGAAAAAAAATACACTTCGATCATAGTAACACTTAGTAATGTTTTGCTGTGTTGGACATTCTGCAGATAAATAAAAATCTGTTGCAGCCACTAAGGTAAAATTTTATGCCAATCGTAAAAGAATTTGCCAGATGAAACCATCCACTAAAACAAAACGTGACTTACGTTCATGGACGCATTGATCTCACTAACAGCTTCATCGTCCGTCGGGAACTGGTAGATCTGGACGCCGTTGCTCACGAGTTCACTCATTATTTTGATTTTGAATTTATGAAGCTCGCTCTTGGAGATTGTGTCCGCTTTGGCAATGATGGGAATTATATTGACCTAAAGAGAGAATGAAAACAACCAGAAGGGTAGACGGTGAAAATCATCTTTATGTAACGAAAGAAAATCAGTCAAATTATGTGACACTTATGAGTTTGCCATATGCATGAAAATATACAAGTGTGGATTCATCTTCCTCAGAATCAGACACAATAATTAACAGCAGCACTTTTTCTTGTTTTTTGTCAGATATTCTTCAGTCAGAGGCTTCTTCAGTACTGGTGCAACACAGTGTGCTACAAGAGATTCTCACAGCCATCAGCATCTATATTAAATTATATAGAAAATTGTCATATGATATGAGTTACAGCAACATGTAATTTCCCTCTTGGATTAATAATGGAATTTTAAATAGAATTGAATAAATATTTTTACTTTACACAGAATATCTATGAACACTTTTTTCAGTAATTTATGACTTCCTTTATCTTTGAGGAAGAAATATGTAACACATAGACCTGTAACTCTCAGCTGTCCTACAAAATAACATGCAATTTAACTAAGGAATATTAAGATGAAAATAGAAACTCATCTAAACTTTCCATATACACAGTGAGTTAAGTGATTAGAAAAGGCTAAAATAATTGCAAGAGTGGCATTGTAAAAAAGTTTTTTAAAAATATCTCCAAAGCTGAGGGCTAAAAAAGAGCCATGTTGGTTATTTGATTACTCTTACACATATCTACCAGAGGCGGCAGGAAAGTGAAACAGTAAATAAGTTCAGCTAGAACTGATGGGCATTCACAGAACAAGCTGCCATTGTGAAAACAAACTGCATTCCTTGCAGAATCAGCAACAGATGTGCAGAAATAAATATAATTTGTCTGCATTCCTCCACACAGCTGCTTTGCTGGAAATCTATCTGGGATGATGTGAAAACTCTCACAGATCCACTCAAATCAATCCCACAGTGAGCCTCTGGGCAAAAGCTAGCTCTCATTGGGAGTCAAATTACAATCTCATCACACTTTGCTGGATCATTAATCTGCAGCTGGGCACCCCAGCATCATGTTCTCACCCTTATTTAACAAACCGTGCTCACTAATCGCTACCCAGAACTGATGATAACGTTGTATGTCTCCTGAAGGACATGGAGGGGAAGATGGCTGGACATGTAGGCTCAGGAAGGAGCGTACAGTGATGTTTGTTCACTTCCCACAGCCGGGTTTTCCCAGCTGACCAGAAAGCCAAAATAGCTCTGTTTGCTGTGAACAACCAGGACCACCAGCTGTAAATACATATCAGTTCACATGTAGAAAAAAATCACTAGAAAAACAGCAGTGGATGCAGTTTGCAACAGTTTCTGTTTTATTCTCCCTAAACCAGCAGAATATTAATGGCAGTGCGCTAAACCTTTAGTGGACAAAAATACTGAACAAGCAACATGGGGAAATATTAATTAGTTTTAGAGGACATGCTATTGGCTATTTAATTCTTAAATGTTTTGAACTTGAAGCTCCAATCTCCTGAAGGGCCCAAAAAGACATTTGTCTGCAGTGTGAATATTGGTATTGTTATGAACTTATTTAATGGACATTTTTAACTAACTTTCAATAGAAACTGACCAAAGTAGCTTAATACCTAGAAAATAATACTTTATAGATTACATGTAATGCTGTAGCCACTAAAACACATTTTTTATTCACTCCGAAGCTCGATAAGTGTAATTTAGCTCTAGACATAATGAAGCTGATTTTGTCAACTGTCTATTCAGGAAATAAGTCATAATGCCATAAAACAATTATAATTTACTTAACTGACCCAGTATGGAAGGTAATTTTACCATCAAGTTATTCTGCACTGTCCAAAGAAACTAAATTATTTTACTGAATCTCCTATTTTAAGTTAAATGATTACATAAAAGCAGGTTAGAATCGGTGAAGTACATCTAGCAAAGGTAATCCATATCAAGAGCAATGCAAAATTATACAAAAAAGATGAACATAAAATCAGATAACAACAACAAAGCTAACGGTTTCATGTTTCAAGTTCCCAACTGACATCAACATGATAATATTACAGCTCGTCATGATGACAGTGACCTAAACAAAGGTGCTCAGTGTGTTGCATCACCTGCTGGCAGATGAATCTTGTAAACATGTAGAGGAGAGAGCAGCAGGCTGGACAGGAGTAAGGATGGTGTGTGTAAAGTGTCTGACCGCTGTGCTCATAAATTTGAAAATATAAGCACAATACTTTGGGACATTACCTCTCATTTTAATCATTTTTAGGGCAAAGACTGATCACAAACATAAGTTGGATCTTTACTTTAAAAAACATCATCAGCCAAGAATAAAGCACTGAGGCATCAAACTATAAATATCAACAGCTCACCAGTTACAACTTGAAAATCTAGAAAGCTTTAGCTCAGGTAAATGACATCCTCTTTTCTCAACAGCAGGTTAGAGACTTGACTGTGTGTGCTGTGGTTATTTGGATTGTGTCAGTAGACAGCTGGCAAATGTCATGTGCCAGGATGTGATCGTCCTATTGGCTGTTACACAGCTGAAGCTCAGTGGTCAGCTCAACTGAGTCACCATGAGTTCTGATATTTGGATCTCTTCCCTTTATCTGAAGTGTGAACAGGTTTAGTCTTAGTTCAAAATTGTAGTCTGGCTTCCCTTTTCAAGGTTCTAACAACGGCCAGAGTTTTGTGAATCGGGTTAAGTCGTAATAAATAAAAAATCTAAACTAATTCTGAAGCTATCTTTTTATCGATTGCACACTCATTTTATACATTTTCCCTAAACGTGATCCAGTTTCTGTTCCTTGAGAGTGAGTCTTGGCTAAGCTAGCAGTAAGTGCTATGAATAGTATCGGGAGGTATTTGGCAGACATGAATTGAAGGTTGGCAGTGGTAAAGGCAGCAGGTTCAAGTTACACGATCTCCATCTGTTTATTCAGGATTTATTATTTGTGCACCGGCAAAAAACCCCAAACGGCTCAAAGACTGCCTCAGTCATGTGTGCAGCAGAGCCGTCAGTAGCCATAACAAAGACACACTGTGGGGGCAGCAAGTAAACTATCTCAGAGCAAGATGCTGTGCATCATAAAACTACAAAAACTTTGTCTTCAAACCATCAAACACAGCTTTAATGCATTGAAGTCATTTAACGAACATTTATTACAATGAAAAAATAAATAAATAAATCTCTCCTATTACTTTTTAAAGATTTTCCTAATATGCACTCATTCATTAATTATGGCTATAACAATATAGCCATGATCTGACTTATTTCAGGTAAAAATATTTCCAACTAAAACTAAAATACAAAAACCTACAGGTTCAACCTTTCCAGTCCCAACAATGTTGTTTAAATTCAAACCGATTTACTTTACGTCCTCTATTTTGAGGAGATTATTTTCATCATTTTGTCTGGCTGGAATAATGCCAGGGGTTGCATGTCTAGTCAGCTACACTAAACAGAAATGCAGCAAAACAGATGAGCCGCAAGCCAATACTGTCAGTAGTAAAACTTGCACGAGAGCAATGAAAATGCCAGAAATCGATATGTTTGAGTGTGTCTATTGACTAAACGCAGTTGATTATTGACCTACAAACATGTCAGCTGCAGATATGCCAAAGTAAAATTTGAATGTATTAGACATGCCACCAAGAAGACAATTTTTAAAGGTTTTTATGAAAATGTTTTTTGATTACAGTCAAAACAAAAGCAAACAAAAAGGAACGATGAACTGAGAAGTAGATTTATGTTTGGGCAACCTTGACTTGAAGAAAACAGCCTTCTCTAAAAAAGAAAAAAAAAAAAGAGCAAAAACAAGTCACGTTATCTCCAAATACCTCTTCCCGAAACCCTACCACCAAGTGGAAACTTAAGGCTTTTTTCTTTCAGAACAAAGAATCCACACCCTGACAGAGACAGATGAGGAATCCCAACAGTTCATTCAAATCTCCTCCATTCAAAGTGAAGGAGAGGTTTGGATTTCAGGTGAACAGGAGTTAGTTTGTAGGCCATAGGGCAACAGAGTGTGCATGTCACTTATGTATACCTTGCTGTCCAGTTTCTTCATTGTGACCAGGTCCAGGGACTTGAGGGAGTGTCCTGTTGGGGCGATGAAGTAAAGGCAAATGTGGATCCTGGTGTCATGGTAGTTAAACAGCGAGCGTTTGATTTTCAGCTCCTCCTGCAGATAGTTTTCAAACTGGGTGTCGATATAGTCCACGATTGGCTTGTAACTGTGGATAGAGCCAAAGACAAGCCAGATTTATGCCTTTTTGCTAAAGCTAAATATTTTTCTTCCCATTCATGTGTTGATAATGAATATGTAAGAAAATATGAACTTGTCACTGAATAAATAAACCAGGAGAATTATGTTTTCAGTTACTGTATGTTCTGATTCAATGCCAGGATCTCAGCTTAAGAGTTGCACAGCTTAGTTCTGATCAAAATGATCTTACTGACGTCTGACTGAAACGCTACAAATCAGCCTGTTCTCTGTGGGATATAAACATGAAAACTTCAGTTCAGTCATGCTTTTCTCATGAGAAATTTAAAGATGTGGATAAAACCCATTGTTTTTCTAAAAGTCAAACACTATTACAAACAGACAGCAACAGCATAGCGTTTCTTAACACCATCGAAGAAGTTTCTTTAATTAACCAAAGAAATTTTAAGAAATGCAAAATATGGCACTGGAAAAACTAACAGAATGGTTGAAATACACTTCAACTTGCTGCTTGATTACATTGACAAAAAGAATAATTAGTTGAGGGTGCAACAGTTTTGTTAATGGCTTCTTGAAGAAAAGCTAATTGATAATTTATATGGGAAAGAAAAACAAAAGTACAAACAAAGCTAGGAACTGAAAATCTCAGCAAGACATAAATTGATAGCTTCAGTCCGTGAAGAGAAACGGTTAAAGACAGAAGTCCTGAAGGCAGCGGTTTGATCTAAAACAAAGAAAACGTAATGGCAGCCACAGGTTTGTCAAATGACCTGAAAAGAGGCAAAGCAAAATATAAGCTCTGCGCTGAGGATATTTTCTATGAGCAGGGACAAATTAATTGTACAGAGAGCTAGTGACAACAACAGCTTAACCAGTGGCTTTCTTCATTAAAGAGCCACAGCTAGACAAATAAGAATTAAGCCAGGAGTACTTTCTAAGAAAAAAAAAGACTTTAAAAAGTTAATAGCTGCCATGTCTATCCAGGAAAGAGACTCAAATAACATACTGAAGCACTGTGGTGAAAAATAAAGGGAACACAGAGTTCAGGACAGTCAATAACTCAATTCAGCTAAACTTAGAAGCCCAAGACTAGCAGTGGTTTCCATGAAAAATAAATTTAAAAAATGTACACATTGTTAATGGTAGCAATAGCTTCACAAAATCATCTGACAACTCATTAGCTCCACTGTTGATATTTTATTTCCATGAGTCATTTCTGCTGCTCTTATTGCTCCACATTTGACCACATTTAAAATTCTACCTGTGATGTATGACACCTTTTTTTTTTTTACATGTTTATTTTAGATGAAGCACATTTAGACTTAGCAGAAAAGAGCCCAAAGTGCAGAGCTGCTGCTGTATGAAGTCAGCCTTTAAATTCAACACAGATCCTTAATTTGCTTTCAAATAATCATTTTAATCTTACGTTGCAAAATATTTTAACAAGAAAAGCTCATCATAAAGCAGATGAATGTTGCAGTAGTGATGATTAAACCATCTTGGCTCCAACTCAACTTCAGGATGTCCCACATCACTAACATTTTATTGCTCATAGTGAGACAGAGGTTAACAATCTTTTCCATTTCCTCAGTAAGCACCATGTTTACAGTCATCTGTCCTCTACCTTCACATCTCTCTTCAATCTTCGCTGTGGTATGCACACGCTCTGACCTTTTGAAGCTCCCTGTGTTCATTTCCAGCTCGCTACAGAGTCCGTCCTTCAGCGTGTTGGTTCATAAGACCCACAGAGAACGCTGCTATCAAAGAGCGTGAGAGTGCAGCTTGCTGGCTGAGCCACAGCGAGAACGCTTCATTCCACAGCTAAATGTTTTTAAAAAAATAAACTACTTCCTCTTTATTTTTTCCCACCTCCTCCCCTTCTAGTCCCACAAGACACAAGAAATATGTGTGGAATTCCAGAGTGATAAACTCAGTTTCTCTCATTGGTATCCACATCAACATTTGCATAGCAACATCTTATAAATGGAAATGTAAAGATGAGACATGGATTTGAAAAAATAAAATAAAAAAAATAACTACATCACTTTTGATTTACAGAAAACTTGATATTTACTGAGATCTTTCAGTGCTGTGATCTGTTATTTTATCAACTTTACCTGTCCTCCTTGTTGATCTGGTCACCAAACCCAACGGTATCAACAATCGTTAGCTTGAGGTGGACGTTGCTCTCCTGGAGGTCATAGGTTCGAGGCCGCAGATACACACCATTCTGGTAGTGGCTTGCCTCCTCATTTTCAAACATGGTGTTAAACAGTGTGTTCATTAATGTTGATTTGCCAATGCCAGTTTCTCCTGTGAAAGAAAAAAATAATAAAACAAAGTTAGTTGACTAAATTATTCAGTGGTATGCAGAGACCACTGTGCAAAAATCTAGTTATCTATGAATACTTGGCACTTTGCTTTCACTTTCAAAGAACCAGAGCTTCTTGCAGCCTGAACAGTAAGTCAAAAAAAGAAATTAATTAATTAAAAATCGGTAAAAGTCCTGACAAAAAATCGGAGACATCTTCAGAATGCATGAACAAATGATAGTGAGCATCTGAAAAATTACAAAACTAGTGGAGGCAAAATATCATTAACAGCAGATGCTTTTCATAGTCAAACAAAAACTAGATATGTGAGCTCACCATATGCAAGTCTCACCAGACCACGGTAACAATAACACCCTTCAGTGTTGATGCCATTACCGACATAAATTAGATTTTCAGAAATAAAGATGAAGAAGGAAAGCACAGTTGATCGAAACCATTTAGAAGAAAACTATTTTTCGGCAACATGTCAACACATGTCTGCAGTTCCTTCACTTGGCAAGAAAGCAGTCCTATCTTGAAGACTGTGAAAGGTGCGTGTGAAAATGAACATCCAAGAACAGCATGATTGTACATCAACAGTTCGACTTCAGCCCGACATGCTGGGAAATCAACTCTGTTTCATCTTGTCGTCATGGAAATGTGGGCAGCCTTTAATTAGTTAGGTGAAGATACAATTCGGTAGGAGACACAGACAGTTGTGCAATGCCAGCCATGCTATTGCTAAATTAAAATGGTAAAGATAAATCAAAACCAAGTCATTAAATTCAACTCAACGTTTGATTTAAAGTAATAGTTTCATTTCAACACAACTCAAAAAGATTAGATCGGAAATTAATAAATTCTGATCAGTTCATTCACTACCAAGAATTTATTCAGCCTAAAACCTCAAACTAAATTATGTCCAGTAGGTTATTTTTAAAATTTTGTTTTAGTTTTGGCTAAACACCCTGTTTTATTTTCTCTGTAGTCACTGTTTAACTTTACTTCATCTTAAAGTTGACATGAAAAAGCTCTTGGACATGATTGTGTCTGTGGATTGTTTTTCCAACAGCAGGTTGTTTCCACCACCAGATCTGCAGCACGTCCAATATTTCACACTTTATCATCACACAAACACATTTTGTTACTCACCTACGCAGAGGATATTGAAGCAAAAACCCTGTGTGACCGATTTACTGACCAGTTGGTCAGGGAGGCTATCGAATCCAACATGGCCGCCCAAGCTGAGGTTACGTTTCTCCTCATTCTGGAAGACACGAGACAAAACATTAGACATCTGGTGCATGTCAGGAGAAAAACATATGGTAAATATATTAACTGAAAGTAAAAAGACACGTTCACTTTTCTGTACAACATCAAAGACGTTCTGCTCAGTGTGCAGATGTAAAACCCATCAGTTATGTGTGCCCAGATTTAGTTAATCAGCGCCTGCAGCAGGGATGAGCGCAAATAATCTCCCACATGAAGGGACAAGGGACTTGTGAACAGAAAATGGATGAAAAGCCTCAAAAAAGAAGAGTTTCATACTTATGGGATCTATTAAAGTTTCTATTAAGTTGCCAATGCTATTTTTAACAAATGAGAGTCCACAACCAATACGCTGTTGTCTCTGGCAGCATCCCAGAACATTACAGACAAAGATCTCAAATATAGAACAAACTAAACCTTGCAGGCAAAAACCGCTGGAAGTGTTTGATTATCTATCTGAACTGAATCGGTCGAGAGAGAGCAGACTGCACCTTGAGATGAATACAGGCAGCCAATCCCGCCTGGCCCAGCCACGACGGGCTGCATACTTGAAGGCTGATGTCACTCAACACTAGCAGCCTAAAGACGAGAGCTCAGCTGAATGCAACCAAAGCATTCAACTGGGGGTTGGAGACTGGCTTCCAAGACACAGCAGATCACTAAATGACCTCACTGAGGTTCACAATGAAGGATGAGCAGAGTGTGGGACAGCAGGGATCTGCAGGTTTTAGGGTGAATAAATAAAAAACAATTTTAGCAAAAGTACAGCATTTCTGCCACTACTTTTACAGAAGAAAATACCAAAAGAAACTGTTATGCTGCAAAATCTTATCAATAAAACAGCAGACTTGTTTCAATAATTAACCTCTCTTATTAATAAATTCCTGATAAATTCTTCACAGGCATTAAGTTTATAATGCTTTTCCAGTTATTTGTTAAATGGAAAATTTGTCAGCTGAAAGCTATTGAATTCTCCATAATTGAATTAACTGCAGCTTCAACACAAACAAAAACCCAGGAAAAGACTGCAGGAATGAGGAGGAGCCCTTGTTTGTTGTTCACTGTAAACTAAGAGCTTGTTTTACTGTCTTTATGTTTTCCTGTGGTATTTAGCTAACTGGCTGAACATTGCAGAGATACTAAGATTCCTGCAGAAGGAGGAGGGAGCAGAGGGAGGCTGCTGGCTCTATTATCACGCCTGGAAGGAAACCAGTGCAATCACACTGAAGCTTCATGAGAGGAACGTTACAAAAGGGAGAAGTTACATAAGTCTTTATTTACAGAGAAATGATCTATATGAAGGATGTCACGATGCTTCCATCAGCATATTTGTTTAAAAATGCAGCACATGTGAAACTGAATAAAACTTCCCTTTTTGTTCATCTTAATTCATTTCTTCAGTCTGGATGGCTCAAATATAAATCTACGGTAACTATTACTCACTGCTCTTATTTTGTTCATGGTATTCAGTCTCCTTCACTCTGGTACCCCTAACAAACGGCATCATGAAGGCCAAGGAACACAGCAGACAGGTGAGGAATGAAGATGCAGAAAGCACATAATTATGTCTGAAAACGCACAAGAGATCTCTGAAGAGATGGCTGTCCACTTTAACCAACAACTCAGGAAAGGAAACAGTTGATGGGGGAATTACTAAGGATGCCAGTAGTAACTTTGGAAGAGCCGTATACCGTTGCAGGGTTTCCCCCAGAGTGTCATAAGCCACTGGACTATATGCCCCCCATCAGGCTAAATGTTGTTAAATCCTAAATAGGATTTGTTTTACACACCAATAACATTAAAGACAGATTAAGCTGGGTTTATAGTTAACACACTGAAGTGGGCACAAGGGGGTATGCAACAATTACACCATCCCTGCTCCTGCCCATTGGCTATTATGTCCAAACTGTGCTGAGTGCTTGTAAACCTTACAATTGTTGTAACTTTTAACATTTCCTAACACAAAAAAGTTCAGTTACAACACTGTTCAAAATCCAGGCCTAAACTTAACTGAGAATATGAGGCAAGATTTGATAACTGATGTTCATATATACGCTACCAAGTTTCAACATTATTGGAGAGAATATTATGAAACGATGTCAGTCCAGGTGTGTCAGATAAAATCCAAACAAAATACACTGTAGTATGTGGTTGTAACATAACATGTAAAGTATGGAAGCTTTTTAAAGGAGCCATGATCAGCCGTGAGCAGATAAGCCACCATTTAAATCTTATTTCTGCTCCAAACTCAAAGTGTGACAGTGAAACTGTGCAATTGAAAAGAACAACAAGGATTATGACTCAGGTGATAATTTAGGGTTAACCTCCTACACTGAATCACATTGAGCTTGTCTGTGTTGTGTATGTAGCGGTGACGCACACACACACAGATGGGTTTGTGACTGAATCTTGCAAACTGAGCCTGCTGACCAAAACCAAAAGTGTTATCTTTTGGGATCAGACTAAACAGAAGTGTAGACGTGGACACAAAGCCCTGCAGCTGGGACTCAACCACGTCAGTCAAGACTGGACTAAATCAGAACTTCACTTCACTTCTTCACATCAACAGCAGTATAACATCGAATTACTTGCTCCAATTTTTCTATATAGCATATTATTTATAGCTGTAAAGCCCTTTCCCTCAGTTGGAACCAGCTGCACCCACAAAATGTACACAAAGTTCAAACAACCACCAAGCCTGTCAGCTCTGCATCCATGAAGCATAACTTTAACTTAAAGACCACAAGAAGAATCAGCAGAAACATAGGATGTTCACCCAATAGTTACTATTAGACCAACGATGAAGAAAATCTGAGCTCGTACAAACAAAGGAAACGCAGAGAGACAGCATGGAGCATGAGAGGAATGAAAAGCTTCTGGTTTAAAGTCCCAGAGTGACGAGACAACAACGCTCCCAGGCCACCATATCACCAGGCCAACAGGAAATGGATGCAGAGGAAGCCCCAAGGCGCTTTAAAGCGCAATGAGGCGCAAACATTATCTGCTAGTTAGTACAATGTTGTTACAGCACAGTAGGCTTGTAACATGCAGAGTTTAAAAAGATCTGTTTGGTCAGGTAAAGTGGACAAAAGGAGACTGTGAATAATCTCAAACTTTTGAGTGAAAACTACCCTGTTCAATTCAGCAGCAAAAAATAAAGAATTGTTAAAAAGGGAAAATGAAACTTTTTTTTAAAAGATACTAGTTTGAAGTACATTTTGATTAAGTTTTGACATTCAGTTCTCTCTGGTGGGATTCTTTTAGCATAGCTTTTCTTCTGGACCTTGGTCATGCCATTCCAAAAAGTAATTTTTCTAAGTTTGGATGTATGCATGGATTCACTTTGAGCCATAAAATCCCTCTGCTAAACCTACATCACGATACGGCCACCACCTTGTTTCACTGTGGATCTCAAACACTGATGCTTACTGATGCTTTTGGGTCAAACATACCATGTCGCATCACATCCCAGGTTTTGTGAGATTTTAGTCAGGTGTATTTATTTATTATTTTGGTAGAAAGGGGCTCCGTCACACATCTCTCATTAGGGACATACAGAAGTCACTTCTTTTGTGTTGCTGTTAGCCTTACTGAACAGTTAAGTTTGTCTTTGTGTTAGTATTGAATAAACTGTCCGTTATAGTGCCGTTTTTCTGAGTGCTATTTGATGAAGAGTGAAAAATACCCATTAAAGCAATAATTTAGCTTCACATTGTGGCTGCTGCTGTAACAGCCATTTTGAACAACCTATGTTCATGAGAGTCACTGTTAAATATGTCAGAATTGAAATCAAGATATAAGGAATTTATATAAATAATAGATTAATATTGATTTGTTTTTGTTTTAAATATTTGAGAAACTGGGAAAGTAGTGGTGACACCTTTTCTGTTTTATCCACAGTTTTCACTTTTAAGCAGTTTGTTTTTGAGGAACAGTGGTGAAAAGTTCAACTGCATGAGTTAGTCAACAGGTTGTTACCAGAAACCAAAGAGTGAGCGAGTGAGTTGATGTCACCAACAGATTGAGCACCTGAAGTCTTTCCTCTGCCTACATCATCCAGAACGCTGTAGGATTCTGGACCAGTTCAGTGAAATTATTGAACAGTCTATCAGACATATTACCTATTGATTTTGATCACGTCTATCGCTATATACTGATTTATTACCCATCCCTACTCCTCACTCATCCAGCCTTTGTAGAGGTCAAAGAGAAATGTAACAAACATTGCAATAACGACTGATATAAACCAACAGTAGTGAATCAATCAGCATCTCCAGACGCCATTTGTTTTTGTTTTAGTAACTACTTTTTTTGGCCATCTTTTACACCTCGTGGCCTCTGTCCACACCTGCCTTGACTGTCTTGTTTTTGATAAGAGAGTCTCTGAGTCATCTGACAGACAACCACACTGCACTGCAGCTGATGCTCATTGAGTATGCCGGTTGTTCTTTGCACAATTTGAACTCAACCGTCATGTTTTCCTACTAAATTTTCAAAAACTTGTGTCAATAGTTGCTGAAGTGCAAGTTTGTTTCAAGTTTTTTTACCCTTCCAGTCTCTATGAATATACGTTTGAATAAGTTTGGTGTTTGACTTGCAGTCTGACAGAAATCCTGATTTCATACAGTCACTGCATTAACCACCAGAAACTGTTGACCTGAAAGTGAAAAATGACAAACCGAGATCTCAAGTATGAAAGTCTAACCTTTCCATAACTATAAATACTTGTTGCACATCCTTTAAGAGTTTCTGAAGAACGAGTCATGTCTAGAAAGTTGAGAACGTGCAAATGTCAGTTTGAGGGTTTTGAACTAAGTGCTGGGTTTATAAGTGAACTTAGGTTTTGTGAGGGGAACTGACCACATAGTAACCTCAACAACAAACCAACACTTACAGGCTATACTCTTTACATGAAGTGGCTGCTGACTGGTTTTTCCTGTCTGATGGCTGCTGGGTAGTTTCTGTCAGTAGGAGAAAGATTTTATTTTTTTTAAATCATGAATTCATTGAGCAACACTTTTTTATTTGCCCTGACGTTTCTCCCAAGCTGCCAGCTCCAACCACACCTTCCCATCTCAGAGTCACATGCCAGCAACCTCCTGTACTTACTCGGGCCGGCAGTGATGTTGCAACGGCAAAAAATGTTGACGGTTGAGATTTCAACGTCATGCTTCACGTCAGGAATTCAACTACAACAATGGAATGAAAACTAGTTTCTTTTTGGCATTTATCACTCACATACATCGACTGTATCACCACAGAGTGGCTTTATTCATGCCAACAGGAAGAGAGGAGAAAATACACAGACCTGAGGAGACAGAAGGGAAGGATTTTATGAGGTAGATATACTTTGCTTTTGGAAAATATGATGCCGTGTTTCAACTTTCACCTAAAAGTTCCACCTTTTCCAGACTAGAGAGTTCCCATAATGTTTTATAGTGAATAATAAAACAATTTTAAAATGAAACCTGGAAAAGTCAGAAACAGCAAAGGAATGAAGAAAGAAAAAAAGACAAGAGGTTTGAAGGAGTTAGGACAGAAAAGAAGAAGAAAACACAGAAATGAAGAAAGCAGGGAATGATGGAAGGAAGCAGAGACAGAAGCAAGTTTTTCTCCATCTTCATCCACCACACTGGGAGTTTCAGCATCTCTTGTTTGAGAGTCCATCCAACAAATATATGCCCCACTATACAAAATTATATGCTTGTAAATCAAAAATTTTCATTTTTTTTTTTAAAGATTCAAAAAACTGTCACGAATGTGATACAGTTTCTTGTACTTCCTCAAAAACAATCAATTATTACACATTTCAATGACAACAAATTTATTTCTCAGACTTATGATTTGGTTTTGATCCAAAGTATCAACAATCCAATCAGCAAAATCTCCATGAGCTGCTAATGCAGTGCAAATAAATGTATATTAATTAAACGAAAATTATTACACACACATTATAGCAATCAATACATTCTTAGAATCACGTTTTCCTAATATCACACAGTCCACACGCCCTGCAATACTTACAGTTTAAAACACACTGCAAGGCCTCATAAAGAACATCTTTGGTGCAAATACACACACTGCTAGTCCTCAAGAGGAAGAGCATTAAAAATAATCTACAGATTATTTACAGTCTAAGCAATCAACCTGAAGATTACTTTTTCATAGTTAAAAATACACTAATGGAAGCAGCATTGAAACAATTCATACAACCAAGAAAATGGATTTTATTCCTACAGATAAAAATCAATAAAAGCATCAATAAGGCAAACAGCTGAGTGATGATGGGTCAGATGGGAGCAGATAGAATCTCACTTCTGAGATGAAGAAACATCATGAAACACTAAATGTTTCCTAACATCATATTAAGATGTGTGTTGGCCTTATTTCCTGAGTTTTCTTCAGATTTGGAAGAACTCATCATCACTAAAAACGCTGCATCTGGGCTGTCACTCTCCATCAATGTTGATGAATGTGCCTCAGGAAACCTCTGGGTTTTATGTTCCTATGCAGCCGAGAACACAAACAACAAACCAACATCAGTATCTGTTGTACAGCTGGACCTGAAATATATGGGAAATTTCTTCCCACTTGTCTTGGTGCATGAAACTAGTGAGTTTTCAGAATGGACCTAAAACTAGAGCACACATGAACACTTCCTTGTTCCTTGTCTCTTTGCTTTAAGTGCTTGATGACGCTAATTTCATTTTATGCTTGCAAGACTCCAGGGCGAGACTCTTCATGGTCAGCAAGCACTGTACATGCTGGATACGTAGCGGGACAATCAGATGTTGCTACTAAATGAAAACAATAAAAGTTACTAGTCAGTCGGGCTCAATCGATCACTTCCCGTGTATCCTGCTCAGAAATTCATCCCAAAGCTTCCATTTCCACCAGATGTGGTCGATGTGGACCTACAGTCTGACAAGCCGCACGTCTCTATCAATAGCTGCACATAATTAACAGCTCTCGCTTTACGCAGCCAGGCAGGAGGGCATGACAGTTTGTTCAATGTGGTCTCACTTTGTTCACAAAGTCAGACAGGAAGTCAGTCAGGCAGCTGCAAACTCTGGCCTGTTCCCCGGCTTGCTCAGCATTTCCCTCTAATCAATCCTCTGGTTTTGTATTCCAAGAAGATACCTAAATTGAAAAGTACTAATTGAGCAATATCGAGTTCTCTTTTTTTTTTTGCATTGGCTCCTTTCTTCTTTGACAACGTGTTGCACCACTAAGCAGTAGGAGTGGCCGGAGTGTGAACTTAATCTCTTTATCCCTGGATCTCTGTGCTGCTTACTATCCAATTCAAGAACCTTTTCAAGCATCTGCCAAAAAAGTTAATCCCCTCTCTTTAAATCCCAGTCGTTTGCGCCGGCCACTCTTCAATGAAATGCTCTCCTCTACTTTTATTACACAGTGTTACTGGTGTTTTCTATAAACTGTCCCACCCTGCTGATATTCCCATTGGGCCACACCTGACTGGTAACACTCAATATTACAATATGTGTAATATAAAACAAACTCTAACCCAATCTGAAAATATGTCCATCCTACTGCTGCTATCTTCTGGGTGATTCAGCATCTGACTAGATTATCTACACCCTGTAAACATACATAAAATTACTAAATAATCATTTAAACTAAAGAATGAAATCTATTTTTTTCTCTGTCTTTTGTGTCACTGAATAAAAGTTTCAATAACGTCTAGTATATGCCAATGGGAGACCCTGAACATATTCTACAGTCTATTACTGGAGAATGAATTGTGTTAAGGTTACACTGGCAGCCGTTGTGTTAGTGTGCATGGAAAAATTATACAGTAAACATTTTCATGTCTACAGCATCTGTTATTCAACTACAATTAAATGCAAATTACATTTAGCTGCATTGATAAGTACAAATTACTCTGTAAGATACTGACAGATCATGTGAGTTTGTTGTATTGTTTATAAAAATTAAGAATGTGTAATACCGTATAACTTCTATTTAGATTAACAAGATTATTGTCACCAAATCAGATTGAAAACTGCACTAGATACAGATATACCGATAAATATAGTTATTTTATTCAGTATTTGCTTGGATTTTGATAAAATGACCTCTAGAATATAGAATAAACCCTCGCTATTTTATGTGCATCGAACAAGTTTATTTGTATAGCACATTTCAACCACAAGGCAGTTCAAAGTGCTTTAGATCATAAAAACATTGTACAGGTGGGTTTTTGTAATTGTCTTTATGCGATTCTGAAGCTTCAGGTCTCAACATGTTTTTGCTGCTGCGCTACTTGTACAGTAACTCAGCCATAACAAGATGGATTAGCTGGTTAATAAACACTACTTTACTTTTCAAACCAGAATATTTTGTAAGAGCTGAATTTGTCTTTATGCATAAAAATAATAAAAACCATTCTTTAAGCCAGCTGACCAGCAGTGCACAACAAACAGTAGAGGAGGGCAGTGCTGTGCTGCTCTCCTTCCATACAGTTCAAAATAACTCCAGTGAGATTTTTAGCAGTTTTGAAACCATAGTTCTTTAAAACTTTGGTGTGTCTATGTATTGGAAAGCAAACTGCCAAACAGAAACAGGAAATTGCTCTAAATAAACAAACTGAACCAAAGTCAGAACTAAAAGTACCACAGCACACGAATCTCACAACAAAAACATTTATACACACACATCTGAACTTTTTGCACTTCTTCCTATGATAGCTTTTCTTGCATCATTCAAATGGCGTTCATATTTTCAGACACATACATGCAAAATAAAATCAAGTGATTTGATTGACTACATACCCAAACAAGGTCTGTTAATTAAAAAACAAAACAATTCACAACTTAATTACTAAATTAACTTTACCTAAAGTTATTTAAAATAATTTAATTTCACATTCTACAGCAACGTTCTCAAGTCACACTTGACTTCAATTAACATCTGATTAAGAATTAAGCAATCATCTGAGTCAGGTGTGTTAAAGCAGGGAAACATCTAAAACATTCTGGGCAGAAAGTCTTGAGGACCAGGGCTGGGAAACAATGTCCTAGAGAAAGGAACATGAAATATGGGTCTACTAAGGTAAGTACCTGGCATTTAATCATTAATGCCAGTAATTTAAATAAAAATATGAAGTCTCTTTTTTTTTAAAGTTGCATACATGATCTCTGTGCATATGCATTTCCCCAGGTGAAAATGGACCTTTTGAAAATATTTTGAGCATATATGGTTCCAATGAGTTTACAATTCAAAGCAGCAAATAAAATCCAATTTAAAACAGGGAGGACTTTCATCTGCAACTCTCCACACTGACAGTGTTGGCTGCTCTTTCCTGGCTGTTGTGTTTGGAGGCACTTCATTTAAAGCCAACCATTCATGTTAGCATAATACCAACAAACATGCATGGGTAGAAAATGGACATATTACTGTAAGCAAGCTAGAAATTGCAGCCACATTGATTGGACTTAACAGCGACAAACCCACTGAGTCACCGTCGCAGAAATCACTTCCACCATCTCGTCAGGCGCTGATGATCAGGCTCCATAAGCGGGGGAGGCTCAGCTACACACATTTACGACAACCAACCAAATGATCCGCGACACGCTGCACTTTTACCGTTTCTGCTCCGCTGACGGGATTAAACACGAAGCGCAGTGACATTTGCTTACCGAAAATACGTCCACTTCCGTGGCAGCCATGGTGTGGAATGTGTGTTGACGGCGTGCTGAGCAGCAGACTGAGCAGAGGCGAAAGGGAACAGCCCTCCTCTCCTTACTTTGCCTGCTGAACTAACTGAAGGCGAGCTGACAGGGATGGAAACACAGCGACACAAGGCGGAGGCGAACCGTGACAAGATGGTTCCCTGCTGCCTTGTTTGGTCTTCGATCGGTTGTTTTGTTCATCTTTACCCGAGAGGCGATCTTAAAACATTATTTATTTTTAAATCAGATAAATAAAGGTAGAATTGAACCGTTTGCAACTTGTTGAAACCATCCTTTTTGCACTTGACCAGTGCTTGACTAAAACAAAAAAGAGTGTTTTGTATCTTGACGTGTTTTGTATCTTTGTTCGTGACGAACACGTTTCAATTAGTGATGGGAATTTCAGTTCCGTTCAGAGATCCGACTCCTCTGGCTTAGCTCCTGAAAAAGACAACTTCAGTTCCTAACCATTTTACATTATGTAGATTAATTACACACAGCTGGGTATTTTTAAGTCTTTTATTATTTTCCATAATGTTACAGTCAAGAAAATAATTTAAAATTAGAACTTTACATTTGACTAATAAAATATTTTTTAAAACAAAGTATATTTAATATCTGCTTAGAGGTTGTTAATTTCAAAATGTACTTTTAATCTGACATACAATGAGACTTGTATGTATAGTCCAATTTGCTGAAATGACTGTATACACAAATATCAAAAGTTCATTCTTGTAACTTTTGATATTTGTATGGAAGCCATCTTTGGTAAACTAATTTGAACACAGTAATTCTGTAATGTGTTAAAACTAGAAATTAAATTGGCAGCTTAAAACAACTGAGTTTCTTCAACCAATGGCATCCAGTCAACCTGTGTTTGACATGTTCCTTTTAGAGTCTGAATGTCAGAGAGAAATGGACTGCTATGAGTTTCTACAACAAATATCACTTTGAACCAGGATTTCACTTTTGAATGGTCTAAGCTGAAAAAATATAAATCCATATCCTAATAAGGCACCCTGTGAGTTCTGCACTATTTAATAATCTGCAAGAGATATTTTAAATCCATTAAAAGTCAAAGCTATAGTTTGTAGAAACATTCTTGATCTCATGTTTTGCATTGTAAATTCTGTGCTGGTAAAGATTTTTTGCAGAATGCTTGGAATGGAAAGAGAAACTGACTGCATGACCTTCAGTGTGATTACTGCAGTTAATGATTGTCTGACCTCCCAGAGACAGAGCACTTCCATGGTTGTGCAAAATTATGAAATGGAATATGCATTTATTGAATGAATGAAAAAATATATCAGGGTATGTTGGTATATTTATAATAATTTTCAGAGACAAGAAGTTTAGTACATTTTCTTTTTTTGGAAGACGAAAACTAAAACTGTTGAAGTTGATAGACTTCAGCCAATTGTAATTTGCAAGTGTAAAAGAAACATAGGTCACCAAAACTGTCTATTTAAATCTGGCACTCTTTGAACTATATAATTTAGTTGATATAAAAAACATTAAAAGATACGTTACACCAGATTTAGCTTAAACTAGTTTCCGTCTGTAGTCTCTGTGCAAATTAAAACAGACATTTACACAAAGTGAATTTGAAAGTAAGAAGGAAATGTTTGGCAGACGACAGTGCGAGAGATAAAGTGGCAGCCACAGAGCACTGAGGGGGAAAGCATCGCAACAATAAAGGAGAACTGCTCAGTTCATGTGGGCTTTTTTATTAAGCCAACACAACTATCTGAGAATTTATCATTATTGGCCTGGAATATCGAAATTTTCAGTAAAACTAAATTTACAACTTAAGTTTGTGTTGAAAAGAATACGAGTTCTTATTTAAATGAATCGGCACAGAGAATCGACTCGGGTTCGGGCGGCACAGCATTGGTTTCAATATGGCCGCTTCTTATCAGGCCCTCCCTTTCAGTTCAGGAATGTCATTAAAGTGCAAGTCAGGGCAGGAGCTGCTGGATGATAGGACAGCACAAATATGTGAGGTTAATAAAATGTTTTAGGCTACCACATGTGCAATAATTATTTTTTAAAATCCAATCAGTGGATCATTAACTCATCATGTGACATGTTCTACTTTTATTGTAGGGTGATTTTTACAGAGACTTCAACTCATGCGGAAAAGTTTAATCGACTCTTTTCTTATGTTGGAGGAATCTAACCTTTTACAATTATTTACATGAAATTAATGTTTTACGCTTTTGTAAACGTTTCTCATTAAGCATTAAACGTCTTGGCAGTTCACTTTCTCCTGAAAACACGTGGGTATATTATTCAAATCCTTTCCACGTCCACACCTTGCAGGGACACAAACAGAGAAACTCCTCCAGGTAGAGAGGGAGGAGAAAAGCGCAGCCAGGTGTCTGAGTGGCGCAGGATCCTTTCTGTTCTGGCTTGAACAGTTTTACTCATGGATTTAACAAAGGAATCCATCATTTCTTTTCTGGTGGCTCAGGGGGGGAAAGTGGAGAAGTCTGATCTGGAGGCACACTTTAAATCCTCAGTGAACTGCGTCGATCCGGCGCAGCAGGACCGGAACAGAGAAACATTCAAGACTTTGGTGAACAGTGTCGCCTACGTCAAAGCGATCGACGGGACCCGGTTCGTTATTCTCAGAAAAAAGTGCCTGCATTTTCTCGGTGGGAGCCAAACGACTGAAAATGGTAATGATGATAGAAACACGGATGAGTCAGGCGAGCAGGCTCCAGATGTGCAAGATGAAAAGACTGAGCAGTCAGAAGGTTTGGCTGCTTCTGGGGGAAATCCTCCATCTTTATCTCCCATCGAGCTGGCTCTGCAGAGGAGCAAATGTGAGGACGTCAAGGTCAGAAGGAAGCTGAATGTTGATGTCAACAGGAAGGAGAACGATGAAGTCAAGGCCCAGAGCAAACCTTATGGACTTCCTCTGAGAATACCTGTTTCTAGCAGGGTGGAGATCCAAAAACTGAGGGTGAACCCAGAAGACCCTCCCTACAGTCAAAAAGCAGACACCTCCAAGACTAAGAGGAAGCCGTCCTCAGTGGACAGTTGTTCTCCCCAGCTGAGGAGGGCAGCGAGGGGCTGCAAGGTGACAGAGGAACCCAAAGACTCCAGGATTTCCTCCATGTTCCCCCTGGAGCAGCTGGAACATGAGTGGCTGGTGAAGTGTGCTGCGGGCCAGTGGACCCACGTTCACGGCCTGCTGCTCAGCGACTGCCATCTTGCCCAGAAGAAGGACTTCACCTCGGGGTTCACCGTGCTGCACTGGGTCGCCAAGTGTGGGAACAGTAAAATGCTCTCTGTGGTCATGGACATGGTCCGGGAAAGAAAGGTCAACATCGACATCAACGCAAAATCCCACGGGGGTTACACTCCTCTACACATAGCTGCTCTGCACGACCAGGAGTACATCATGGCCATGCTGGTGGGCGAGTTCGGGGCCAACGTCAGGATCAGGGACAACTGTGGCAACAGGCCCTGCCACTACCTGCACAAGGGCATTTCTAAAACTGTCAAGGAGATGTTGACAGAGCCCAAAGCGCCGACCCAATCTCAGGCGACAGACCCTCTGTCCCAGAGGGAGGAGCAGGACGTGCTGCCAGACCTCTCCAGGGGTCTGCACTCCTTTAGCCGTCTCTTCCAGCCGACGGTGATCAGCAACAAAAAGAAACCCGCTCAGAGGTCCGGACTTTACTCTCTGAGTGAGGACAGCGAGGAGCAAGAAGCCTCTGGCTTCAGACACAGAGTGATGTCTAACGCTTCTGTCTGCTGATGAATGATGGAAACATCACTTTATTTAAATTTTCAGTAGCCTGCTGCTGCTAAAACAACCAAACATATTGACAATTACAGCTGTAATAAAGACGACTGAATAAGAAACCTTTAAGGCGGTGTTTACAGACTCTTTACATTATTTTTATGGATATATTAATTTGTTTTCAATCATTTCAGTTCCAGAAAGAATTGCTGGCGACTGGAATCTATTTTCATGAGAAACATTTCTGAATCAAGACTTGACATGTTTTGCCTCTTTAGTCAGAGATGAACAAAAAGGAGCGACTGCAAAAGGAGAGAATCAAAATGTGTGACTCCAACTCTTTATCAGCAAGAAAATTCATTCATAAATCAAAATGTCAGTGAAATGCATGAAAATATTCACTCCTTCTGTAACAAAATACGTAATTATAATGTTTTTATATATTCTAAGTCACTGAGTTGAAATGTTTTGATGTAAGTAAAGTAAATCAAATCTGGCTAAAAGCTTTAAAGTGGCTCATTTATTAAAAGCCATCCAGGTTTTCCTGAAATCTGTTAAGCATCTTGCTGCCAAGATTTCTCTGAAATATTGCTCGGCTTGTTGGGACAGCTGTGATTCAGGCTGATAAGCAGCTGACTGGGACGTTATGTGCAGCTGGAAGCTGTAGAGCTAACTGTATCGTTGTACTTTATGACCAGCAGCCTGAAGCTACAGAGATCTGCAGGGGAAAAAACCCTCTCCCTCCCTGCTGTTTCTTCTGTGACTTATTATGATGTCACTTCCCCGGCATTCTTCATTGTTCCTGCAGCAAGATGACGGGTCAGCTCCTCGCCCAAAGGTTTTGTTAAACAAATGTCTTTTTCTAGGGCAGCGATGAGGGAAAAATAGGCTGGGATGAGTAGAATGAGGGGAGGAAGGTATACTGTCTTTGCATTTGAAAGTAAAAAAATTTTTAATGTCACCAATCAACTACCAAGATTATATTGAGGCACCTAAGAAGATTTTGACAATGGTGGCACTGAGCTGGGGACACTTTCTATAAGAACACAAACTCTCTTAGTAGCTTTAATTGGGAAAGGGACACAGCTAAACTGCAACGCTGAGCCAAGAATACTTCCTGAGGAATAGATATGGCTTCATTGAGAAAATGAATACAATTACGCACAGAAATACTAAGCCTGAAGTACTTTCTATTGCTCTCAAAGAGTTCATATCAATTGTAAAATCAAAATGGCTTCTTCCAGAAAAGAGATGCTGCTGAGTCTCAACATTTCACATCATATGAAAGTGAATGTTGCATTTTTAGTGTCTATTTGAATTTTGTTCATATTTATTTTATTTTACTATCCATGTTTCAGAAAGCTCACCAAAACATAAACTAAACAAGATAAAGCACTTATACAGATGTTTATGCTGGACATGTATAGATACTCGTGGCATGATAACAGGAAGGAGCAGAGCAATCATTCTTAATTTTTTTTTCTACTCTTCCTTTAAAAAAATAAGACATGCTTTTTTTTGGCTTGAATTTTGTTTTATTTGCAGGTTTTAGGTATGGAGTTTTTCATAAGAGTCAATTTCCTGGTCAAACTTTCATTGGAGATGCAAAGAACATGTCAGTGGAGTTAAAACATTGCCCTAGTCTTTTTTTCAGGCCAAATTTAGAGAGGACACATTGTTCTAAAATGTGTCCTCCAAATTTTACCAGTACAGACCAGAACATTACATTTCCTGAAATAGCCTTAGACAGGGAGTTTGTGGTTTAAAATATTTTATCTGTACTTGCTCAAAGCAGCTGCCCTCATGTGATGCCATAATAAAAACACTGCAGCCCCTATGCTTGCAGTGTTTCCATTATCCCAGCAAGCCAGACGTTGATGGTTTCCTGTTAACAATAAATATCAAGTGACTCCAGCAGTGTGAAGTAAAATAAAACTGTATGAGACCTACAGTAACCAGCATGGCTGGCTCAATGTGTGATTTCTCAAAAAATGATTTCATAAATAGCAATTTGCTCTTTTCCACCAACTTTACACTGAAATCTACTATAATTAAATGAATCTGTCAGAAAAATAACCTGCTCTGAACAATTTATAAAGAGTGTGGGGTTATTTTATATCTAGGAAAGGTCATGTACAATTGGAGCCCAAAATCAAATTCTGCCTAAGCCCCCATTGAATCTTGAGCCGGCCCTGATAACAGAAACAACCAGGATCACCAAATAATCATTTAAAATTGTCGGCCAGCAGGCAAGAGAAGACACAATTACTTCCAGACAGACAAACAAAAGCAAAAAATGTGACCAGAGGTAAACGATCTAAATATAAAGAAGAATTTTCAGGCTGTTTTGTTTTCTGCTGATCCACAGCTTTACATTTGTGTTTAGTCTGAATACAATCTTTGGTTAATCTTCCTGGGTGTGGCGGCTAATGACCGACAACTGGGGGTGGGAGGCTGACTCAAGGTGTGTTGACATTCCTGTGGGTGGAGAGTTCAGAGTTCAGACTGAAACCTGAGCCTTGAAGCAGATCTGGTACCTGAAACATCTGTGGTGTATATTTTGTCTATTTTATCAGCTGAAAAAAAGAAAACATAAAAAAGCAAAAACAACCATGTTATGTTCAGTGTTTTCACCAGTTTCTCCCACTGATTCCTGCTGCAGCTTTAGAGTTTTATTCTGTGGTTTGTTTTCAACATCTGTGCTGTTATTTTACAACAAATATCTTGTTTTTGAAAAATCCCCCTCAGTTAAGCTCCTTGTCTTACCTCTACTGCTACTGTTATTACAGGTTTTGTTGCTTTTGCAGTTCATCCTCCTTCCTCTTCCTTTTCATTACCAGTTTGGTGAGGCCAGAAAAAATAGCATCAGGAAAGAGAGATTTTGCATGGAACCTGCAGACTGAACTCTCAGGAAGGGCTTGGAGATAATTAGCCCTGTTTACAGACCAGAGGAAGCCGTTACCATGACTCTGTTCAAAGTTCACACCTCGCATATTAACCACATCTCACTGTTTAACTTGCATGCACGGCTCTTTGGGTTAAACAGTCAGGTAGCTGCTTATGGAGGCCTTCATAGGCTTGTTTTTTATGGTTTGTTTTCACCTTTGAGGATTTCAAACATTCTGTTTCCTCAGCTTGACTCACTAAATCATCAAATCTTTAATCATTTTACCTCCTGATACAAAAGTGACCTTTTGCTTTCGTGGAAACCGCTGACAACATGTGTGAATGGTGTAACATGATGCCTAACATGATGGTCAACTCTCAAACACATTTGAAAGTTGACCAACTGCATCCATTTTTCCAGCTAACCCAGTTTTTTGCTGAAAACAAACATCCCACAGCATGATGTTGCCACCACCATGCCTCTCCATATAATCAGGTTCAGGGTGATGTGGAGTATCTGTTTTCAACACATTGAGTTTGAAATGTTGACCAAACTATCTATTAGCTTCACTTCTGAAAGTGGCTGCAGTTGATTTTATTTAGTGGAATGAGGGTAAAGGAACTGAATGAAAAGCCTGCCACATTATTCAGATTATATTTGTGAAACATTTTAAAATCATAAGTTATTCCCCTTCCACTTCTCAATTATGTACCACTTTGTGTTGATCTATCACCTTAAGTTTGAGTTGAGTAAATTGAATTAAAGTTCATGGTTTATTATGAAAAAGGGGGAACAATTATAAATATGTCCACATTTTGAAAGCAGCTGTGTCGCGGCCGTCTATGTTCCAAAACAAATATCCCAACAAAGGCAGTTGGTGGTAAAAGGTGGTTTGATTTGCACACAATTCTGACTTGATTGTTTTGAAAAATATATATACTTTATTTCTTGAAAAAATACCGACAAAATAATTACTAAAAATGTCTTACAACTTAATTGAAAACAGAAATAATCTTAATTTGATGTTTCAAGCTCAAAAAAATTATTAAAAAAACAAAAAAACATTACAAAACCTGCTATTAACACACCAGACATTTGACAAACGATGGACCTGGTCTGTTCTTATTTATTCCAATTAATGGGAGGGTCTAACAATTACCAACGTAATCTATACAATTCCAAATAGAAAAATTGATTACAAATTTTGGTTCTTAACTAACAAATATATTCTAACTGCCCAAAAGAGAAAACTAAATTGATAGAAATTAAAAGTCACAAAATAAAGCATAAATGGCCACAGCAAGCTGGAACAGCTTTATTGCTACTTTTTAAAGTTTTATGCTTTTATTTTGTTGTGTTTGATTCCTCTCATTATTGTATAAAATATTACTTAAATTGCCAGCAGAGGGCATAAGCGAGCTCTGATTGAAGTCAGTTTACTGCAAACAACTTTTTCTTATTCATGAATGCACAGTTGCATATAAATATATTCAACACATCACACAATTACATGAAGCATACAGCAGCAGGTAGAACAAATCTCTCTTTGCTGCTCATGTGGTTTTGGGTGTAGTGAACACATTTACTGTCTTTCTATTTATGTAGGTTATGTTTTTATTATTAATATTGACAGTATCACATAAACACCCACAGTTTTTGTTGTTGTTTGTCTCTCTGTCTCTTTTCTATGTCCTTCCCAGCAGACTGACTGAACTAAATATCTTCTGACATGCCATTAATTTAATAAAGTCATTTGTGTAACAGGAAGAGTCTCATTTTCCCTTGCTATGAAGCAAATCTGCCTCCCACACAAAAAGGCAACCATAACTTACCAGTGGTTAGTTAATTTATCTGCATGTCTTGTACTGTACAAAAAGGCTCATCCACAGTGTTTGGAGCAAAATTATCTCAAAGGTTTGGGAAATAATTGGAGTAAATATATTCTCTGTTTGGATGTCACAGCATAAATATATATAAAGTGAAGGGGATGTAAAATGAAAACCCACAGATCAACAATGAAAGTTTAATTTATTCACAATATTACAAACGTCATGGATTTTTTAAAACCCCAAACAGGCACAAACAAAACTCTCAAGAGAAAATGGGAGTGAAACAAAGCAGAGAAAACAGATTTTTAATTGTTTGCTATGATCAATATCACCATGGGTTAAAATGGTTTTTTGACTTGGCTTTTATATAGATTTGTTTCATTCTGATGTCAGAGATCTGAAGTTATTAAACTATATTCCCAACAAACATTATTCCTGAATAAACTATATATATATATATATTATATATATATATATATATATATATATATTTTTTTTTTTTTTTTTTTTTTTTTATATATAAACTGCTCCTCCTTTCCCATCTCTTTCCTCAAGTCTTTTTGTTTGGTTGTTAAACAAAAAGACTTGAGGAAAATGTTAGAGGTTTGCATAATTTAGGAATTCCAGCCATCTACAGAAAACAGCATAAGGGTCTTTTCAGCCTTCAGCCGTCAGGGGGGAAAAAAGGACCAAAACAAACTTGTTTGTTTAGAAAACTGTGACGGACGGAGGTAAAAATCTCCACAGAATATTTTCTGTGCTGGTGGCAAAAAGTG